AAAAGATAGCATCCACTGACAGCCAGCTTTGGAAAGCAAAGATTTACTTATTTACGTGATCTCTTTTCCTGATCCTCATATTTGGCAGTTGAATTACTACACATAAATTTCCGTGTGATCTCTTTAAATAATATACTAATACTTCTATTTCTTGCTCCTTCTAACCTCTGTCAGTAACTTGACTCTTCTTTATGGAGGGGGATATTATCCCTCCTACCTTTTTCTCCATTTTTCTTTTCACTTCCATCTTTTACTTTCAGTGTTTATTCTCTTACAGGATCAAACGTGTACATCAGTACATCTAATGTCTACCTGATTCACGTGCCTCGTGGTGACCTTTTTCCTCTTTTAAAGTGTTTAAAGTCATTTCTCCATTTTTGGTGTTGTGAAATCTCATGATTTAATGCAGATCTTCTTTTAAAAGTTATTTTGGGTCAGTCTTCAGTGACTCTTTCAATAATTCAAAGAATCTTTTAATTACAATTCTCATCATCTCTGGAGAAAATTTCTTCTGTTATTTTTACAACGGCTTACATTTTATTAGGTCTGATTTTTGGAATTATTTGTCCTACTTGTAACATTCACCCCAATGCCTCTCTTCCTGCAAATATTTTCCAGGTCTTTTTTTGTTTCATTCTAAATTTTTTCATTTTTTTCCAGTTTTTTATTGTTTATTCGTACATTTTAGATATACATAATGGTCATATTCATCATATGGAATTTGTACCCTTACATGATATACTTTGATGCCTATTTTTTTCCCAGTTCCCTCTACTCCCTTCAACCCATCTTCCCCTATTTACAAAGCTTTGTTTCCATTTTATCCTTTTTAAAATCATTTTTTCCTTTTCCCTTCCTTCCTTTCCCACTTCCCCCACCCTAGTTCTTCTTTCCTCCTGAACAATTTATTCCCAAAGCACAATATCTATTGTGCATTTTGGCCTTTATTTACTCTTTCAACTTCTCACACCAGAGAGACAATACAGTGTTTACACATGTGAGTCCGGTTTATTTCATTTAAGAGTATGGTCTCAAGTTGCATCCATTTACCTAGAAATGCCTCAGGTTTATCATTCTTTATGGCATTCATCTCTTCAATTTTTATAAGCTCCTGCCTATTCTCAATTTTCCTTTCTAGTAACCTCCCATTTTTGTTTTGTGAATAAGCTGCTTGAATTTCTCTGAGTCAACCATAACTTTAATTATTTTAATTTCATCCAGCATGAGTTTTTGTTTCCTTACCTTAGTATTTCTCTCTTACTTTCTGATTCCTCTTATACGCTTGACGCTGGTTGATTATCTGTTCTTATCAAAGGAAGGCGGGCTAAGAGTCTTGTGTGTGTTTCTTCGACTGCCGTATCCCTGGGTCACTGTGTGAGGTGATGGGGTCATGCTGGCTGTCAGATTTCACGTGAGAAACCAGACGTTAGGCCACACCACGAAGTGGTGTATTCTGTGTTACACAGTCTCACAAAAGCCTTGGCTAATTCTCAGAAGGTTCATTCAACAAGAAGCATCTGTTTTCCCTGGATGCTGGAATTCCAGGAGGTGTAGAAGTACGGGGGTGCTGACTTGCACTATAGATGACTACATAAACCCACAGTTAATCTCCTTCCACTTGGCTACATTTCTCACTGTCAGCCCTGAGTGCGTATTTGTCACGCTTTCTCACGGGCACATCTTTTGCCAGGCTTTCTGTAGCCCTGTAGGGTATCTTCACTGTTCAGCACACTCCTTCATGCACACTAACTTCCAGGAACTGTCGAACTCTTCTGCAAATGTGAGCAAATCCCATCCTCCATATTCTTAGTTGGATGAGATTTATTTCTTTTTGTGCTTTTATTTTGTTCCAATGTTTCAGGAACAGAGATGACCCTTAGAGCTTGACACATCATCTTAAACTTGTAGTTTGGAGTGCTTCTTTTTGTATTTCTTGTAGAAACACAACTAACATTAAACACAGAGCTACTTACTCCATAACCTCCCCCAAATTGTTCAGTTGCAAGCGCTGCAGTCTCTTTTGTACATAAAGAATCTCAAGTCCACCGAAATCTAGGGATTTCAAAGAGACTGGTATAATACTATAGATTTGTGCTGAAAAATTAAAGAGGATTCTCAGACTGAAAAAAAAAAAAAACAAAAAACAAAAAAACCAACCCTTGCTTTGGATCTGGTTGCATTCATTTCACAATGTTTAATAAGTAGGTAGAGTGGGCCAAGTACTAGGCTAACATTCTAGCGTGATAGGAATAAAAAGCAGGATAAGATCTGAACGGACCCTTGAGGATAACATCAGCTGGTGAATAACTTGAGTTTATGTACCATTTTGCAGTTTATAAATCAGTTTTACCTTTGGTGGAGTCTTGATACTTACTGATTTTCCATTCACAGTTTTACCTTCTCCTAAGAGACCAATGATCCATGAAGTGTGATAATTTACTTATTTGCTTAGGCACACATGTGAATCACATGCTCGGCGCGAACTGTGGATGGTGCAGTTGCTTGAGTGGTGAAAGCAAAGCCGACACTTGCAGAGCCCCAAGTAGCACTGGGCTTCCTACGTGTGAATTTATAATCAGCTGTGCAAGCCATCTGAACTCAATGGGACAACCACACGACGCGGCCTTATTCTTCTCCTAACATTGATTTTAACTGTACTTCTTCCAATTTCCCTTTTTGCTCTGACATCTCAGTGAGATTACATAGCTTTCCAGACATTTCTGTGGGTAAAACTTTAGCGTAGTCCAATTTGAAATTTCAGTCATTTCTTCCAGACTCCAGTTAGGTCCTGCAAGGGAGGTGGAGCCCGGAGAGTATCTGGTCTGCTGCTCCACTGCTCTCCTCTCTGATTCTGTCTCCTTAATCGTGTTATGAGGGCTGGAAGGAGGAAGGAAGGCTTGTCTGTCATTTTGATGGCTGCAGTCCAGTCCCATAAGGCTGTTGTTACTGCGGCTGAGACATAACTGACTAGCTATCAATACTCTCTTTGAAGGAAGAAACCAAAGACAGGCTTTCTTATGGACAGCAGGGAGGAATTTTCTGGGGCAAGTCCTTCCTGAGCAGGTGTTAGATGTGAGCTAGCAGCTTTGGCTCGCTCTCTTCCAGATGTGTTCAGCTTCAGTCCTGGTGATTTGCCTCCACAATCTCTTGTTATCTGGCGTGGTACCACCAAGGATGCTCAAGCTGGTTTGCATTTCTGCACATCGTACCAGGACAGACTGCTTCACTGGTGGCTTCTTTCTGCTCCACGGAACTCTCTCCTTTGTGATCTCCGTGGTCTCGTTTCTCTCCTCTCAAATAGGCACAGAGATAGATCTGCCACAGAGGAGGTGTTCGATTGGAAAATGAGATTCTGCTCTGCCTTCCCACGGGCACCTTTAGTCTATCAAAGGTTCTCTTAGAACCTTCTATGATTTGGAATTAGTAAAGACAACCCACCCTTTTCTCAGTGATGAGGGGATAATCCTCTTAACTCTGATCTTTGTATCAGATCTCCCCAACTGTGCTCTCTCTACTCCATTTCCTTATCTTTTGCTTGTGTAGACAGGGCAGGAAAGAGGTAGGAGCAATGGAAGGATCTAGGCTTAATTTCTTGTGGAGGATTTTTTTTATCCTTAGATGGGCCATACTTGCTGATTCTGGGTCAGTGGGAAAAACATTGCTTAGCAGCCCATTATATATTTTAAGCTAGATTCATGTAGTCAGAGTAATGGGAGACTTGATAAAGTGCTGGGAAGCCTTCTGGAGTAATTAGGGCTATGTTTCTTAAGATGTGATTTATGAATCACCTATATATCTAAATCCACTGGGAATCTTAGGGGAAGCTATGCTAATTCCTGGGCTCCGTATCCAAACAGGTGAGCTCTCAAGGTCAAGGAGGAGTCAGGAAACTGGATTTTCAATAAATACCTCGAGTTTTATTTACATATGCTAAGGTTGGGCATTTACTTCTCTTACACTATGCATTGTCTTAGGTCCTCCCAGTAGCACTTTGATGTAGACAGGGCTAGTATTGTCTTCATTTGCCTGATGAGGAAGTTGAGATTCAATACAGAGCAGTGGCTTGTCAAATGACAGAGGAGTAGTCCACTCATAGCTCATGGTTAATTACAGTCAGAGGCCATTACTCTGCTACTAATTATAATTTTCAATAGAGAAAATACCAATCAAAGTATTTATCTCTTTACAGACTACCAAAGTTTACAATGTTGATTTTTAGGAAATCCATAAAGGCACAAAAAACCTAAACAAATATAACCCAACATTTAGACAGTATTTGCTCATGTAGTTTATTCTACCTTTTTGTATAGTTATAATCAAGCATATTTTAATACTCTCTAATAAGTGGCTTCCTAAAATTAATGTATTACTAATTTCTCTACCGGTTAAACATATTCCACAACATTATTTTCCATAGTAATATAATGTTCCAACTCATGAATGTACAATTTTGTGTTTAACCAACCCTTTGCTGGTGGACAATTTGACTAGTTCAACTTTTTACAATTATAAAAAGATGCTTTGTGCTTATATCTGGTAATTGGAACAACAAATTTGAAGGCAACAATATGCAATATAACAGCCATTGCTGAATTCCTACCATCTTGTTTAATGAAGCTCTGTATCATTTCTAATTTTTTATTACTTGTTATTATTTTTAATTGTTTGCTCAATCTTGCATTCTTATATCTGATAATCTGAGCAACTTTACTGAAGATAACAATATATAACAACCATTGTTAATTCTTATCATCTTGTTTTGAAATCCTGTATTGTTTTGTTTTGTCATTGTTGTTATTTTACTATTGTTTTTTCTTTAAAATAAAAAAAGATGCTTTAATCATTAGACAGCTTAAAGAGGAGTGTGAGAACACGCTGTAGCAGTCTAAAGAAAATTAAATTAATTTTTAAAGGTCATAAATTAAGAACGTTTGGGGTCTGAAATATTACAGAACATTTCCGCGGTGACTAAAAAGTTTTTAAATGTGTTTTCTAAACAGGAACAAGACTATTTTGTTTTATTTTAACCTGCTAAGATGTACCAGTCCCTCTGTGATGATAAACCTACAGTGCCCTACCACACAGGTAAGGAAAAAAATGCCTCCCTGGTGCAGTTGTAGGTCTGAACACTTTGAGATAAAAGAATTCAGAAACATGACTTGAGTCCTATGTATGTGTGGTCGTAAGACACAGGTATTATCTCAGTTTTGTTTATATGCAATCGAAACTAAACAGGGATTATTATAGAATTGCTAAGGAACCTTAGTATTTATTTTATGCAAATATGTACTCTTAAAAATAACTGCAAGCCCAAAGAAATATATTTTTCTCAACATTAATACTGTATTGGGAGAAGTAAAGCTAGCTCCTACAATAAGCTCCAGTTTTTCAGTGACTTAACATAATAATGTTTGTTTTGACCACTTAACAGTACAAGGCAGGTGTTTCTGTCCAGTGAATCAGTCTCCCCCAGGTTCCTTTTATCTCGTGGTTCTGCCATCCTTTCAGTCCTCTTCATCACCCGCACCCAGATGCCAGAAGGAGACAGCAAGGATAAATAAAGCACCACTCCTAAAAGCCTTGGGTCAGGAGAGTTAGATAGCAATTCTACCCATGTGCCACAGAGATAAAATAGGTGTGATCACACCTAGATGCAAGTAGGAAGAAATCGAGCATGGCAGTTGTGAGCTAAACTGCTTCTTCTTACCATGGATCAAGAAGCACAAACCTCAATGGACAGTTAGCTGTGTCTTCCATGGCTTCGCCTCTGGTGTCCAGAATGCTCTTCTTCCAAAAGGAGAACTCAGAGTCCCACAGAGTACTGTCTTTAACTCAGAGTCCAGGATCTGTGCGTGATGCATGGTTTTCTCCATCGGATCTTGACATTAACTGCCTGGTAAGGAGCAGGTAGAAACATTAGAATAACTCTCCCATTCCGAAAGGGAAAAGAGATACATGCACAGCACTGCCTGGTGCGTGGTGATGGAGAACAGTCCCTTTATTGACCCGGACTACGCTCTCTCAGCGGAACTCTCTTACCCATTCCTATGGTCCTCTGTTCAGCCACCAGGGAGGCTGTTTCCCGTCCATTAGCCACCAGGCTGAGCAGTGCACAGTAGGTCCTCCCGACGGCCATAGAGCTCAAGGGCACTTCCTGTTGTGCAAGGTTAGTTCCTCAGAGACTATTTTAAACAATAAATTACTGTTTAGAGTAGTTCATACTTTTTTTGACATTTTTGATGACCTCAAAATCTTACCAGTTTCTGCCCAACTTGTTTTCTGGTTCCATGTGTCAATACCATACCTAAAGACTTTCCTAGAACTGGTTTGTAGATCTGTTGTATTTCTTTGTTTCTTCATCTCCCTTGAAGACTTGAAGTTTTATTTATTCTATGTCAGTTCTATCACACTTCTGTGTACTTGCCTAAGGTGAAAACAACCTTGTCATTTCCAGTGGTTACCTGTCTTTGTCATCTCAGCTCCAAGCATTGCAGTATCTGATCATTGCAATCTCTAATACTCCAGCTCTAGTGATTCTTCTATGGCACTAGCATTGAACAGTAAAGCACTGAGCCTTACCTCTTCAAAGTTTCCTCCATTTCCTTTATGTTGTTACTTGCCTCTGCCTAACTTAGATGCCACAATCCCATGTTAAAGCCACACCCAGTTCCTTTGTCCTCTCTCCCTAGGTTGTACTTCCCTGCCAAAACGTCATCCATATGAAGTGTAGCTCTCTGCTTACTCCATGCCTGAGACTATGCACATTCTTGGGAAAAAACAACCAACAACAATCCTTTAAATCCAGGGCCTTACCTCAAGAGTGTCCTCCATGCCGTCATCCTACAACCATGCTACACATCCACTGTCCATTCGCTGATCTATTCTCCTAGAAAAGAGTTCCACACCTTTCCCCTTAGCCTCAATCTTTCCACCTGCTTCCCTGTTTCTCTGGGACTCTTTCTTTCTTTTTCTCTTTGCAAAACTCCTCAAAGATTGTCCATGTTACTGTATCTCATCCAGACTTTTATTTCTAGTCTAGTTCTCTTCAACCAATACCATTGACCTCCTTATTATTAAACTGATGGTCAGTTCTCAGTCTACATTTGCTTGACCTGGAAACAATGTTTAACCAATTCTTCCTTGCTTGCCTCTCAAGATACAGTATTCTCCCATATTTCTTCTCAACTCTGGTTGCTCCCCATTAATCTCCTCCGCTAATTTCTCTTTATCTTTCTTGTTTTTGGTACTGAGAATCAAACTCAGGACCTCGCGCTTACCAGGCAGGTGTTGTGCCACTGGGCTACCTCCCCAGCCCTCTTTATCTTTCTAACATCTTCTTCTAAACATTGCAGTTTTCTTCCCTACAAAGCTTAGTCCTCTTGTAAGTCTCCAGTTACTCCTTTGATGATCTCACCATGGGTTTAACACCATTTTACCTGCTGCCCTTTCTCACTTACAGCTCCACATAAATCTAGTCCCTGAACTCCAAACCTTTGTAGTATCTCTGCCTGAGTATTTAGTTGGTATCTCAAATTTAACACGTTCAGAACTGAATTTCTAATCTCTAGCTTTGTCCCTAGAATGTTCCCACTCTCAACACTATTCTCTATGTCAATTAGCACCAGTAGCGAGTTCAATGGAATTGTTCTGTTGCCTCTCACACACACTCGTGTTTGAACTGTGAGCTACTTTCTTTGGTCTCCCTTGAAAATATGTCCTGGACCAACCTACTGCTCACCATCTCTTCCCTTATTCAGGGAGCCAGCCTCTCTTTTCTAAATTGCTCAGTGGCCTCCTGAGTGGTCTTCTTGTCTCTATTCTTCCCTCCTCTTGCCATTTCATAATCTCTTTCCTACCCAGCAGCTAATATGATCTTGTCTAATATAGGTAAGATTAAGTACCATCTTTGCTCAATTGTCCCAATATCTTCCAGCACCTCATTCTTCACTGTCCAGCTTCCTTTCTAATCTTATTTTCCCTCTAGCATTTAGTACTATCTTACAACAGCATTTTGCTTGTCTTTTATTTGTTATCTATCTTCCCCATTAGAAGACAAACTGCTTGAGAATAAAGATTACTTTTTCTGTTTCGTTCACTACTAAGACCCCAGTGCTTAAAATAGATTCAGAATAGGTGACCAGTAAGCATTTATGGAATTAATGAATTAGTAAAGGAGTGAATGACTATCTTCCTACTCTGTTAGTGAGTTTTCCCACTATACTATGCAAATCTATCATTCCTATGAGAAGACAGAAAGTCTTACCCATGATGCTTATTTGTGGCGTTTCATAAATGATTTTAGTCATCATCTTCGTAGCAAAAATAGTGTTTTAACTTTCAATGCAGCTCACTTCCCCAAACACTGAATCCTAATTTGTATTACAGTGTTAAATGCGTCTGAATCTAAAATGTAAAATAGTGATTAAAAAAACTGTATTCAGGGTGCCCTTTGTGGTACACAGAGAATCAGAATTGAGTCAGGATGTGTTTTAGTTGCATATAATTCAGCTTTGCAGTGAGTCTGCCGGGCAATGATGTATGCATGCTTGATGTGTTTGTTAACTGCCAGCACGGTCCAGACATGTGTCATGAGCACTTAAAGGACAGACTGTGATCAATTAGGGTACTCAACCTCAATGTGACCTTCATTTTTGGCTAATTAGGTGTTGATTGCTACTAATCAGCATCCTATTTGCAGTGAACAAATTGGTCTGATAGAGGCAAAGAGTAAAGAGCAGTTCCTGTATTGTTTCTTTAGCAACTCATTTGTGTCTGGAATGAAATTCGATGTGACTCTCTCTAACAACCACTTCTTGCCATTTTAATTGCTTGTGCTGCATGCAGAGCACTTTGATATATGTAATATGAAGTGTGTGTGTGTGTGTGTGCATGTGCAAGTCCAGAGATTCTCATGGTCCAAAGAGATGGAAGGAGAAAGAATGGATGGAAGGAATAGGGGACCAAAAAAAAAAAATTAAGATGTGTTATGTATATGTACCCTGTCCCCACAATGAATAGAATCATTATGTACTGCAAACATGTACTAATAAAAAAATGAAAAAAAGAAATTGACATGGTCCCAACTCAGAGGCTCTTACCATCCTGACAAGCCTGTGAAAGCGTTGATTCTTTCAGTACTGACCTTTATAAATCCACTGAAATGTAGCCAACAGGGAAACCTGTCCAGTTATCTTTCACCGTCTTCTAAGTAAATAATCAGAGCTTAAATGTCTGTCATATAGCTCCCAACATGGTAAAGATTTATTAAGTTTAGCTCCAATCAGACTGAACTTTTGACATTTGCTTTGGTAATAACCTGAACTTCCTTCCAAAATCTGTGTGTTCAGTGCTGTGAATGTCCCTATGTAGTTTTTTAGATTGGTACCTTAAGCCTACCTATACTTCCTTTAGAGTGTGAGTGTGTGCATGAGAGTGTGTGTGTGTGTGTGCGTGCGCACATGCGAATGAAAAATAGAGAGAACATATGTGGAGGAGTGAATGTGGAGATGGGCTGTTCATTGTGTCAAAACACCTACAAGACCTGGGGGTGCTGCTGCCATCATTATCTGTGAGATTTGGGCATCCATTTAGTTATCGCCTGACTGACCTAGCTGTGAGGTCACCGCCAAGTGTCCTGTGTACAGCAGAAACATGACCCAAAGGATGGAGAAGAGATGTCAGCGCAGCAGCAGTGGTTTTCCTACCGTCTATGGCGCTCAGGCAGTAGGACTAATTGCCAAAGTGCAGTAGGGAGATGGAGAGAGTCAGGGCAGAGGAGGATTTCACACGGAGGAGCTAAACTGATGGAGACATGTGTGACGTTAACTGCATCTCACTTGACTTCTGTGACCTTCCTTTGTTCTTATTAACTATAAACAGAAGCAAAACCAATAGCAGGCAGCCACCCTGCCTCCCTAATTGTGTTGCAGACACTCTGTCGTGGTTCTTGGAGGGGCATAGCGGTCAGGTCTGGGGCTGCTAGCCGGATTCACTCATTTAAAATAACTGCATGGGTGACCTCTCTGTCCAGGTCTAGACGGTGTTGGTAAAAGACTATAATAGTGACTGATTGTGGCAAGTAGCCCTAGTGATATTCATTTCCAGTAGTCACAAAACTCTAATTATGTTTTGAGAGTTGTTGCAGAGAATTCACTGGCTCTAATAATTATTAGTTGCCTAAATTATCCATATTCAGAGCATGGAACGCTATCATTATTTTATTCATATATGAGAAAAGAAGCAAAACTCCAGTCCTGAATATGCATTAACTATACAGACAAAATTAATCTTGAATTACATGCTTATCTACTAATTCAGAAAATCATAAGCAAATGTTTTATTAAAAGTTCATTATTGTCCTGTGATAATGGTCACTGGAGTCTACTCATGTGATAAAGTTGTACAGAAATACACCCACGTGCAGGCGCACACAAATGAATGCATGTGAAACTAGTGTAATTTAAATAAGGTATGTTGACTGTAACAATATCGATTTCCTACTTGTAATATTTTGTTATAGTTATGTAAATTATTACCTTTGGGTAGATGAGGTGAAAGGTACTTGGAATCTCTATTATTTCTTACAGATATACATGGAACTACAGTTATGTCAAAATCAAAAGCTAAAAATAAGCTTATTACTGTACAATATCTTGTTTTTACACAACACCAACATCCCAGAGCAATGAGTAGATGTTGGTAACTCTCTACCTGGAATTTAATTTTTTACAATACTACAGGAAAATTGATGTTTAAATTTCTTAGACGTAGAACATAGCTTTGCTCTTTATTCTGATGGACAATTTAAAAGCCTAATATTATAGACACTTCCCTGGTTTGCTTTTTTAACTCAGTTCCTATTATTATGCTCATCTTTTTAATAGATCTGTGTCTCCAAGTGCCCCGAAAAATTTTTAACCTACGTGGAAATGCAAATTTTGTACCAAAAGGATAGGAGCTACTGGGAATACTACCGTCAGTTCTGCAAGTCTTCTGCTAAGCCTATAAAGGTGTGTTTATTGGAAAATTTCACTTTTGTTTCAGTCTCGAGTGTAACACGATCATTTGTTTTGAGACAAGTTCTCAAATCTAGGAAATGATTACTAAGACACCATTGCCTTAAAACATAAATGTGTGTTTATGCTCATTTACATACATATCATTTGTAGAATATCATTGTGTAGACCTGAGTGTTAGGACAAGTTCTTAACTCTAATAAGTTATCTTGAACTGTTGCAATACCTGGATGGATCGTTTTTTCACCTAAGAGCAGGAATTTAATGTTATTAGTTACCATTTCACTATTGTACCAATGAGCCCCATAGCAACTTAGTAGAGTTTTATTTCCAAGTCTTGTTTGATAACTACTCATTAAAAAAAACCCTACCTAGGTTTGAGATGTATAAGATATTTGTAAAGCCTCATTGTGTTAAATAATATTAATGGCTTTTACATTAGAGAAGATGAGGTTTTTCTGGGGAAAAAAATTGAAGGATTAGAGACTCAAAATGTAGCTTAGACAAAGATATACACCCTTCACAGGTGTGCCTTGTTTCAGAAGGTCTGATTTTATTATTGTTGATTCAGTTTAATTATATTTAAAAGAGTTTGTTGAACAAGAGTTTGTGTGTGATAATCTTATGTGGAATAGTGAGATTTATGGAGTTAGATTTTTAAAGAACAAAACTCTGATGCTGAGAACGAAGTGGTCATTACATAGGGAAATATGAACATGCTCTTTCTTCTATTTCAGTCTCTTCCCAACCTGATAATGGGTGATGACTGTCCTACCGTGGTTTTCCCAAGCAAACCTTGTAAGTGGTAATTATTTTACTTTAGAAGCACAGAATCTAACAGGAAGTTGTTGTTTCCTCATTTTCCCATTGACAAAACTGAGGCCAAAAATAGGCCTAGGACTGGGCAAGGTCCCAGTGTTAATTAGGAAAGTTCAAAGCAAGCCCATCCTCATAACTCTAGACAGGGATGTTCTACTGGAGCTTTGTGAGTTTTTGGTTTTGCTACGTAAACACACAAGTCAAAAAATTGATTTTTCAAAAGCCAATCAAAGTGATTATTTGGAGTTGAATATGCATACATCAATATACACGTGGATATGTTCATCATACGTATTCGTAGATTCAGTCTGAAAATTTGTTCAGAAATTTCCCAGGGAGTGCGGGTGAGAAATATACTTCTATTTATAATTTGACATTTAGATTATTTTATGTATCTCCTGAATTAATCTATGTTTTATTTCTTTAGAATGTAAAATGTTAAAGCGATACTCCTTTAGAAAAAAATTAAATAACCACTCATTATCCTTTCTTAAGGATATAATCCTAACTAGAGAGAAAAACTTTACGGAAAATATACATCACAGTGTTCATTTGAGGTAACTAAAAAGAACTAAAAGGAAAAGAAAGGCAGAGAGGCAGAGAAAATAAGGGACATTCCCTAACACCTAACAGTGGGAACAAGTACAAATCACAACGTAGTCATTAAATATTCTAGAAAGATTAAACATAATACTGCTTCCTACAAGAAAGAACATGAAAATGATCCAGTTCTGACTTTCCTCTCCTCTTCATTGAAGACTGGGGTTTGAATATATTTTACAAAACAGATTTGTAAAGAGACACTGGTTCTATTTAATCAAAATAAGAACATGGAAGACTGCACAATGATGTAACTCTGCTTAGAAATTACACTAGTCTAGAACTTGTGGACGTTGGATAGCTGCAGAACTTCCATTTTTACCCCCTCCAAAAAACTATGTCAATGAAAATGTTGAAGAGACATTTTATTAAGACAAGTTATTAAGAATTCACAAACAAAAATTCAGTTCTCTTAGTGGCCTAAACTTTGAGCTGGTTCTTTATCCCAAGGAACTATTTACTAATCTCTAGTCTTCAAGGCTTTGCTCAGAGATTATTAAAAAAATTAAAATACTAAGCCTAAACTCATCCAGTCACACAAGTGAATGTGACCTTCTATTGTTATGTTCACTCTGGGTGTACACTTACAGTCTTCATCTTATTTGTGGCAATTTGAGGAATCTACCATGTATAAAATAATCAACAGATTTGGAATGCAGCCTGAGGCTTTGACTATATTTGCTTTCTAGTTCAGTCTTAGAGCTATCACAAAATCTTCAAATCAGCAACTAAAAGACATTTAGCTGTCTTATTGGGCAACTTACGTATCTCAAAAGAATTTGATTACAAGTAACAGAAAGTGTAAGAAAGGAGGACATTGTGAAAAAGGTAGAAAAGTGATTACTATAATTTAACTTCCTTTTGCAGTTTTCCAGAGATGTCTCCCTGACTTCACTAACAAAAATGGCACCCTAACAGTAGGAGGCAGGGTACAGTTTGAAGACGGAAGTGGAGGGATGACAAATGTTTTGGAACTCCGAGAGGCTGTAAAGTACGTTTGCTTACATTTCTATTTTCGGTTTGCGTTCGTTCTGTTACTGTACCCAACATTGAAGCTCCCGTGAGATTAGGGGTTACAGGAAAAGATTTGTGCTTTATAAAATATACATTTCTTCAATTGGATACCTTGGCAGTGTGTAAAGAAGGAAAGTGTGTAAAAAAAGAAGCCAGAATGAGTTAGAACAATGATTCTTTCAAAATGGTTAAGCCTTTCCAGATCAATAGAAGTAGAAATGTGACAAGGAAGAATACCAGTGCCATGTCATTTCTATACACCAACTACAGTTCAGCATATTTACTGTTTCTTTTGGCTGTGCGCACGTTACTGAGCAATATATTTCTCTGGATGCATGTTCACGTCACACAGATGTGAACACTGACTGTACAGAGTATCATTGCATAGTTCAGTTATTGAATTCAAAAGAGCTGAAAATATTCTAAAAATATCTTTCTTAAAAGATGTTAGTAAGACAAGTGGTAAAATACAGACCCTGTATCTTTAGAATATAATAGCAACATAGATGAATTTAAGAATGTGAAGCTTCATGGGAGAAATAATAAAATAATAATAAAAAGTTCATGTGCCAGGGATATAGCTTAGCAGCACAGCACCTGCCTGGCAAGCGTAAGGTCGTGAGTTCGAGTCTGGGTACCAAAAATAATAATAACAAAAGGTCCAGTGATATTTCATGGGAAAAGCAGCAGAACTAAATTAAATTGCCCTATGCTACCTCCATAAATGCTAAAACTAAAAAACAACTTAGGAAAATGTTATCACAAAAGTCAGAGCAGTACAGGCATTACTTTAGGGAAAGAAGGCACATGAGAAAAGGCTGATGTAGGTGTATTTATATAAGTGTGTTCACACTGATAACTCATCCAGGTGGACACTAATGGTCTATATACTTTCCTGTATGTATCCCGTCATGCCCTGCAGTGCTGTCAGAGGAAGAGGAAAGGGAATTAAAGATGATCATCTCTCAACTCTGCGGATTTTGTAAATTAAAAGCTGATCTTATCATTTAAATGTGTTCCTTCCAGTGGGGCTTCTGCAATATGGAGGGCATGTTGCATATTCCGGAGAAAAATCTGTTCACTCTTCTTGAAAGCCACGTTCTCGTGTGTGCAGCTCTATCACCTTTGCAAGCTTATCCGCCTTCCCAGGGTCACTCACCTTCACAGTTTCCTGCAGTGACATTTTCTGTACTGTGACTAAAAAAGAGAAACTACTGATAGATGGTCTCTAACAATATGCTTTGAATAGCCACTTGCACATTTCCTTTATCCTGAGAGCATTTCTGTTTGATGTTAGTCAAAAAGCAATTAATTTTTTACTTCTTTGAATTTAGTGGTATCAATAAAATCCTGGATGCAAGAGATATCGCTCTGAAAGTGTTCGAAGACTTTGCAACAACTTGGTACTGGATTATCATGTAAGCGGAAGTACACTGGTTTTTCTTCTCGGGCCTTGTTCTAATTTTGTTTTTGTAGAACCTTTCCTCAAATTTCTTATTCTAATTCATGCATGAAATATTGACTCATCTCAGTGCCATTTTCTTTTTCAGATAGGACAAAGATATTTATATGCCCAGGGTTAGCAAAAAGTTGTCAGAATGTAATTTTTAATTTTATTTATTGAATTATTAATGAGTACATCCATACTTCAAGTCACCTGCAGCAGGGTCTGCAGTACTTTTGTATTTGTGGTACATGTGTGTTGTTCATGTTACAATGGTGTTATGTTTCTGGTTCTTTCTTCACATTATTTTTCCCCCCTTGACCTCCAAAGTATCATTCTTATCTTTAATAAACCTCTTCCGCATAAGTGTTATCATCATCATCATTATCATCAGAGGTTAGCATATTTATGAGAAGCTAAAGAAATAAAATCCACCAAAAATGTATACATTAGGAAAAGAAAAACTTGTCTAAATATTTCAATACTAAATTTATTGAGATATCATGAGATTAATACAAGTTGCCTTTGGCCTGTACAATTACAAGAGGTGCCCAAAGTGATAGCCATGAGCTTCCAGACATTTATTACTACAGTGGACTGCTGAAGTGTGTATACACATTTTTGGCAAACTCTGAATACCGAATAAGAGATTATTAATTTTCAGGCATAAGATTTATAATTCTCGAATGTTGAAGAGATGTAGTCACTCTACTAAAGTAGGTAAACATGTTTGACAAACCTGAGGCTGTTAGGCTAACTGACTCTAACGTCACTTTCTAGAGCTTAAGAGCTTCCGTGACTCCCTAATGATCACAGAATAAAGTTGACACTTTAGACCTTCCAAAGACCTTTATAAGTGGATCGAACTTAGCTTCTGAGAGGCAGCTCTATCGATGTTTCTTGATTGACTCTATATTCTCAAACTGTGTGCCCATCTGACCATTAAACCTTATGTTTCTGCACATGTTTTTCTCTTTTGTGCAATACATTTGTGTGAATACCGGATGGCTTAATCACTGAAAGCTGTTTTTTGTCACTTACAAAGCCTCTCTGTATACATATATATTTGTCTTCCACAAAGCACTTACTGTTATGTATTTTATTTATCAGTTTCTCTCTGATAAACCTTCAGCTTTTTATGATGACAGCCATAATTGAGTCCTTCTTATCGTCCTAGCCCCTGGTATAGTTTTTGGGATACAGTAGAGGTGCAGAAAATATGGGGTTCAGGGAACAGTCATAAACCCTAGAAGAAGAAGATAGACACAATATATTTAACTGTATGGAGCTTAATAAAGTAGAAATTGTATCTGAAATGCTAGTGAGTAATACAGAGCTGTAAAACTCCGTTCATTTTGTGAAATTCTACTTGTTTTGATGCTTGTTTTAACAACTCCAACAATTATTTTCAGCGTGTCATAGAGCATATCTCCAGGGCAGAGGTTGAAGTCTGGACTTAGCAGTAGTTAAGCTGGTTTTCCTAGTGTCAGACCCGAATGTCACTGACAATTCCCACGTTTATTTCCACTTTTCCGTGTTGCTCAGTTGACGTCTCTGTCCTTATCTGAACAAATGCACGTTGTGAGACTCTCCAACCCACCTCCTGTACACACTGAAATTTTATAGGCACCATGGATACCGCTAGAACAGCAATACCTTTCTTTATTTTCGCCTGCTCTTCTCTCATCTACTTTGGTTTTTTTTTTTTTCTTTTAAAAGTAAAAGAAGGAAAACATTAACAAATGGACAACCATGTACAAAATAGCAAAAGAACAATACAAACAATACAGAGTTACAAACAAAGTGGTAGGAAATTAACAATGCTTGTTGTATTACATATTGATATCTTCAAAGTGGTTTCTCAGGAAAACTAATTCTCATCAACTTTATAAATATACATCCAAAGTACAAATATTCTGGGTATTAGTTTATGCAGCTACCATTTTTATGAGCAAAGAACTTTCTTCTCCCAAACCAACCTTTTAAAATATTCCCAAACCAACCTTTTAAAATATTCCCCAACTTTCTTCTCCCAAACCAACCTTTTTAAATATAAAATAAAGTACAAATATTCTGGGGTTTAGTTTATGCAGCTACCATTTTTATGAGTAAACTTTCTTCTCCCAAACCAACCTTTTGAAATATTCCCCTTTTTACATATTTCCCCATGCCATAACATAACTCTTTGATCTTATTGAGCATTTAAGTGTTAAAGTAGCTTCGATTTGAAGAAGGAATGGCTTTTGAAGTTAAAAACATAGTCTTTGACTCGAAGAAGTGCTTTGATACCGTGCTGCCATCGATCCAGTGACAGTAATGATTAAGATTATTTTTTAAAAAAGATAACACTTGAGAGCATAAACTCAATATATGTGCCAGACTCCCTCACAGGCTATGACTGGAAACTCTCAGATAGCGGCAGAGACATCAGTTCTAAATAAAATAATCAGGCAAGTTTGCAATCCTAGTGAGCATTCCTTGAGGAAAGTATATCAGAAGATTGGATTATGGCCTCAACCTGGGTCTATGGGGGAAAGAAACTTCTTTAGCAGGCCTGTCAAACGCTAGGCAGAAATTAAAACAGACAAAGAATAGACTATTGCTTGCTTGATAAAGCCACAGGACCAGGAAACACAGAAGCCTTATAATTGCTCCAGAATAGGGTCCACAGATCACTGGGGACCGGAAATAGATGTCTGACAGGGTCAGTCATTGCCGGCTACTGAATAATTAAACTGTAGTGATAACAACTAGACAATCATAATTTTAGAATCCATGTAACCGTTTCCTTTTTCTTGTCTTTTTGCTTCAAGTCTGTCCCCTTCTAGAGCACCATGCAGTTAGTCACCAAGTACAGAGACCAGCACAATTGCATCCTGCATATACCTCATAATTTACCAGCTGGTATGTAGGTGTGGAGGAGAAAAATTGGACATGACAACTGTGGCAGAGAGGTCAAAATTGTAGTTTGGAGGAATTGTATTTTCCCTTGGATGGCAATGGATAGTGTATTTCAGTTTACCTAGGCACACAAAAACGGCTTATGTTAAAGCCACTAGTGGTCCTATTCTTTTGTACAAAAGCCTGAATAAAAATTGTTGTTTATATCTCTAAATATAACAGATACTTCTTTAACCAAGGGAAGTAAAATAATTGAAGAATCATTTTGAATAGAAAATCAGCTCTGATGTTCATCCTACATCATATTTAGCTCACCTGACTTCTGTGTTGTGGGTTTCTTCCTTTAGTGGCCTGACTATCGCCATGATCCTTAGTTGGACATTTTTGATTCTCCTGAGGTTCGTAGCTGGATGCCTCTTCTGGTTCTTCATGTTCGGTGTGCTTCAAATTGTAGGATTCGGTAGGTTTCACCCTCTTGAAATTTCCACCTATCAAAATAATCCTGTTTTCCTACTTGTTATTACCAATGACCAGAACACATTTACTTGCTTTGGATTTAATTATTTCTCTCCAAATCATTAAATTTACAAAATTATTTCATTTTTCATGCATTGCTTTTGTAACTTTTTTTTCTGTATTACCTTAGAGAATAGTGCTGTCGGGATATTTGTCTCTTCCCTACAACCTTTGGTCTTACTCCCCATGGTTATTACAAAGTAGTAAAGCAATCCCTTTTAGATTAGTGAAAAATATTTCAGACAATTCCTTTTTAAACTTTCAGATCTGACCAGAGACCATTTTTGCATATTTATAGTAATGTGATCTATTTTTCCCCTTCAACTTTGTACTTTTAATCCCAGTACTGTCACAGACTTGAATAATTGATACTTCATAATGAGGCATCACCCTCTAGAGGCAAGTATTCTGAATTACAATTACTGGCTGGGGAGCTTTATTTCAAGGTTGAGATCCAACCCTAAGTCAATCCTGTGAAAGCTGCACGGATCAGGTACAATGTGAACCCTAAAGGAAGGAATTAAAGTGTCTCCCGTAGCATAAGGTAGTATTTATGGCAGTTTCTTTTCAATCTTCTTTAAGAAAAAACATGTGGGCTAATACAGAAATGTTTGTGAGGTTTCTATTTAAAAGAATGATTTCTCCCATAACACACTTTGAATTGACAACACCATTTTATGATAATAGGCACCAAAAATAAAAGTCTCCTTTTTCTGTCCCTCAAAGGAGAGATTTATGTATCTTAGTATCAGAGTGCAATTGGAACCCGGGTTCCATAGTTAGCCTGGGCTCTCATCTGCTTCCATGGCGAGTAACTGGGTAACTATGGATAGGTTTCTTATTGATTATTATACATGACATTGGCACTATAATAGTGTCTCAATCTCAGGAGACTGGAAGAATTAAATGAGGAAATGAGTATACTTGTACACCTAAGAGTGCTTGGAACACAATAAAAAAATCAGTAATTGTTGAACTATTGTTGTTCTCCTCCGTATTATCCTTGAGCATTTCCAGAAGGAGTTCAGGTCTCTCAGGTATTCCTTAGCTGCCCTGCTGTCCAGCTGCTTCTGAATCTTCCCTGGGCTTCCTCATAAGCACAGACAGGTAACAGCGCAGAGGTGGGACAGTCTGGTGGAGAACTGCTATCCCCAAACCAACCAGAAACACCACAGAAAGATTTTATTTAAATGTTTTTGTGTTCCTGCTTGGAGCTCTAAGTAAGCCCTAACCTTTACACTGGAGGGGCGGGGCATGTGATTCACTCACTCTTTAATTGTCACCAAGAAGGGAAGGGCAGTATCCTGCTATTAACTTCACCGAGTTACCTTGAGAAGCAGAAGAGATCTCGCTGTGGTGCAACTTAAATAATGGCAAAAGAGAGAACAATAATCAATATATAAAAAATGCACACGCGACGATCAATTTTAGCTCCCTATTGACTCCACAGTGAAGGCTAAACCGGTAATTAATCATGTAGGAATTAAGCTTGAAGCTGTTTATGGTGAGGAAATGTCCAGTCAGGTTTGAAATTATAAGTAAATAAGAACAAATGCAACTGACCTCAGCCTGCATCTTGGGCAACTGATTTTCCACATGTAACAGGAAACCTTTCATTTCCTACAAAAGCCCATTTACCAGGGCATTAAAAAATGTGGCTGTGTTATATTAAGCAGGAAAAAAAAGGTGGACTATCGGTGGGCAAGGACTCGTGTACAGCAGTGGCGTCATTCTCACGGAGCAGAACAAGTTAGAAGGCACATGGGCTTGGAGTTTGCAAAAGGAACAGCTCCAGGTTCACCATAGGTTAATTGTGTGATCCTTTCCTAGTATGTAAACTAACTTACAGTTTCTTCAGCTACTTAATGGGAGCTGTATGCTGTAATAGTGTTTGTTGTTGCTACTGCTGTTTGGTATGCAGAAATATCATTGAGAAGAGAGGACTTGAAGTCCATAAATCATAACTTTAAAAATATCTAGGGCGGGAGACAGAAGGTAAAAGAAAAGCAAATTAGAAAGCACTGCTTAGGGCCCTCATGCTATGAAATAATGAAGTAAAAGTTATGTTTTTTATGTAATAAATGGTTTTGATGAGTGAATTAGTTTCCTATTATAACAAAATGTCTGGGACAATTAACTTATAAAGAAAAAAGGTTTATTTTTGCTCATGGTTGAGTTTCCAGTCCAGTAGGGGGGCTTGTGGGTATATCTTTGGTCACCTGATGAGGCAGATGCACCCTAGCAGGAATGCCTGATAGAGTAAGCTGCCCCCATCACAAGCCATAGGGTGAAAGAGAAAGTGGAAGCAATCAGGGATCCCACAACCCCATTTGGCGCACCTTCCTCCAATCAAGAGCTCCCACCAGCCCTTTCATCCTAATGATTTTATGACTGTCCAACAGCGCCACCCTGGGGTCCTAGCCTTTAACACATGAACCTTCAGAGGAGACATTCATTATCCAAGCTGTGGCACCGAGTTTGTAAGAGATAAAGGAATTTTCCAAAAAAAAAAAAAAAAAAAAAAAAAACCTTTTCTATCACTATGTGTTTCAATCACACTGCATATATGGAGATTTGCTGATTTCTTATTGTTATGATTCTCCTTTAACTCAGGGACTAAAACCCAAGCAGGTGGACTGAGCAGGAATCACATAAGAAGTGCTGGGCACAGCTGGAAGTGCTTGAGGCAGAAGGCTGAAGCCTGTGCCAGTGGCAGTGCCTGTAGCAAGGATAGGGATCCTGCGGAGTATTGGAAGTGGCCCCAGCTTTTTAGCATCCTTTGGGTGCCCACAGGAGCAAATACAAAGCCCCTCTGATGAAAGTACTTTACTGCAGGTCACAGGTTTCCCCAGATTAAGGTCCACACAATAGGAAATTACCAAACATCCAAGGACACAGTCATGTGTGAATATCAACAGAAGCCATGAGCATAAAATATGACATGAATAGACCTAGAACATGAAATAGCTATGTGTAAAATGTGCAAAGGATTAAAGGCAGAATCATAAAAATAAATCAGCAAAATCCCTATGTGTGCTGTGTGATAGAAAAATGCAGTGAATGCTTCCATTTTTAAAAAAATTATTTTAAGAAAAGACACCTTGCCATTAATCTTCAAAATGCCCGCCCAACACACACAGTTTAAACACACTTTATCCTATCTTTTCTGCTACTTTCTGAAAGAGTTCTGGACGTCTTCTCTCATGTCTTTGTTCCACTGTTATAGCTGCTTTAACATCCTAACTTGATTCAAACCATTAACCTCTCGTAGTCATTTTGCATGTACCGGATCTAGACTATAGGTGGACGAGGACACACTGTAATGTTTTTACAGGTCTGCCTTTCTGTTGTATGGTGCTCAGCAGCAGTATTCACTGTATTTTTATTACGTTTCATACAGACGTAAAAGAAGACTTCCAGAACTACTTCAGAAAGTGGCAAGAATGATGGGATGAGGATGTTCAGAGTGGGGAGGGGATTAATGGCAGTGTGTCTTTCATTGTAATAAATTTTTAATTTAAATATTCACTGTATATTTTGATCACATTTTGTGTACATGATGATGAACCAGATAGAACTTTATAAAGTTAAAGAATTGCTAGATTAAACATTAAATTGATAAGTTAAACAGCAAAATGGAGAATTAGAGAACTGGGAAATGAATCTCAAATAATTACTTAAAACCAAGAAGAAAGAGACAAGAGGGCAAAAATATGATTATGTGATTAAAACAGAGTAGATCAAGAATAATCTAATGTATACCAATCATATTTTAAATTTTTTGGTGGAAAATTTTCTGAAGCTAATGAAAATATGGATCCTTAGGCACGGAAAGCTCTAATTATACCAAGGAAAGTAAAGAGAAATCCATACTAGTTATATATTCATTTGTTCAATAACTGTCAGTTGAGTAATTACTGCACATACGCATGATACTACACTTAACATACAGCAGAGAGCACACAAAGGTTCTTACTCTCCTGACCCTCATAGCTGATGCAAGTTAGATCCTAAAGGGAGCAGGTTACAGTTGCTATGGAAAACAGGCAAGGCCGAGCGAGGAAAGGAAGATAAAGAGTGCTGTGTTAGGGAGAGGAGTAAAAATGGAAACACTGCAGTGTTTTGAGACTCTATCTCTTCTCTCCTCCACCACCCCTCCTTCCCCTCCCCTCCTTTTGCATTCTCTCCTCCTCCTCCTCTTCCTTCTTCTTCTTCCTCCTCCTCTTCCTCCTCCACCTCCTCCTCCTCCTCCTTCTTCCTTCTTCTCCTCCTCCTCCTTCTTCCTCCTCCTCGTCCTCCTCCTCCTCGTCTTCCTCATGCTCCTCCTCCTCCTTCTTCTTCTTCCTCTTCTTCTTCTTCTTCCTCTTCTTCTTCCTCCTCTCTCTCCCTTCCTCTCTCTACCCCCTCTCTCTATCTCTCTCTCTGTCTTCTTTCCTTCACTCTTTTTTCCTTGAAGTGCTGGGGATCAAAACCAGGGCTGGGTACATGCTTAACAAGCCATCTCACCTGAGCTATATCTCCAGCCCCAGGGTAGGTGTTTTTAAGAGGACATCTGAGGAGCCACTTGGAGAGGGCGATGTGGTTCGGCAGTGAGGAGAAGGGCACGTTCTAGACAGTAGTGCAGCTAGAACAAAGGCCTGGACGAGAGCGCGCTGGGGAGAGCGCTAGCTTCTGAGGGGCAGGTGCGCTGAGAGAAGCAGGCCTCGGGAGGAGATGAGCTCTTGTGGAACGCGTGCAGCTCTGCAGACTCACAGGCCTTCGCTGTCACTGTAAGTGCGATGTGGAGCACTGGAGGGTTGAAGGAGGGGAGAGAGGTGCTGCGGTGACGCTGTGGCTCCCAGGTTGATAAGGACTGTGGTGAGGCAAGGCTGGGCGTGAGGAGACCCGTGAGGGGGCGACTGCAGTAATTCACATGCGAACGCAGGCCACTCAGAACATGGTGATGGGAAGGAAGATGGCCGTGTGTCCTTCATGTAAAACGGCTTTATTTCCTCATGGTTTGGGTGGAGTTGTGGGAGAGAGTGAGGCGGAGGGAAACTATGCCACAAAAGGACGGATGGCATGAGAGAGGAAACTGGGCAAGGAAGAGCCAGTAAACATGTAGGTAAAGTGAAACGAACTTTGCCTATGTAAGATAACAAGAACTGCCATCCAACTGTTAGGTTAAAAAGATGTGGTTGAAATGTTGAGCAGTAATCACAATGAGATGATTATTGAGTGAAGTAAAGTTTTTGTTTCCTTCTTAAGACACTCAACTTTAAACTTGACAATAGTTAAGCATGCAGCAAATTTTCAAAGGTAATTATGAAAGAGTAGACAGCACCAAACCGAGAGAAAAGGTGGAATGAAAATAACCTGGTGAAGTAAACTGGTGAATCTCTGAAGGAGAAGAATTGGAAGCAGAGCCATGGAGACAGCAGAATATGAAAGGCAAAAGAAGAGAAATAAATACAAACATACATCCCAGTTGCTCCTTCCTATTTGAGCACTTTCTTATCCTTTTTATCCATATCTATTGTACCTTCCAGATTTTATTTACTCTTTCAGGTTCTTATAGTAGAGAGGAAATATGATGTTTACACATGAGAATCTGATTTATTTCACTTATGAGTATGGCCTCTAGCTGCATCCATTTACCTATAAAAGCCTGTAGTTTATTTTTCTTTATAGCTGAGTAATACTCCATTGTATAAAAATGCCACATCATTTTTATCCATTCCTCAGTTGATGGACATTTGGGTTGTTTCCAAGATTTAGCTATTACAAATTGTGCTGCTATAAACATGGGTGCACATATATCAATATGGGATGATGTCTTTAATTCTTCTGGGAAAATACCCAGGAGGGGAATAACTGGGTTGAATGGGACCTCTAATCCTGGTTTAAAAAAAAAAATACAAACATACAATACATTAAATATAAATGCATTATATTCACCAATTGGAGTACAGAAATGGTCAGATCAGATTAAAATATGCACGTACAAATTAGAATTGTATGCTATTCTCAAAAGTTACACAACACATAAGAAAGTACAATATTTAAACATGAAAGAATGGTTAAAAAAACTAACACTCATTTAACAAAGAAAGCCATAGAAGCCCTAATATCCAGACACAATAGATTTTACAGCAAAAAGTATTAGCAATAGAAAAGATTCAGTTCAGTTAAACCATCCCAACCATAAAAGTGTATGCACCTGTTAAAATTGCCTCGAAGTTCACAGAATTACAGGGGTAAATAAGCAAGCCAATAAATAATAAATTGGTACTGGTTAAGACTATCCCATAGGGGAAATTTCAACACTTTTTTACTAAATAAATATGCCATAATTTATTTAACCAGTCCCCACTAATAGTCCTTAAGGTTTTTACTAGCCAAGGGTACATTTGCAGTGAGATATTGCCACAGTCTTCCTGAGAAATACCGAAAGCTTTTATATCAGGTACAGTAGCATGTGTGTTTGTTTGATCCAAAATAAGATAATGACTATGAGAATATGACTCTTCCCTTTGTGGAAATGACCATACGGATCTGTCTCTTGTAGCGTGTGTAATAAACATGTAGCTTCTATTTCAGAAAATGTTTTATATTAATCTATTTTTCTCTCTTTTCAAGGAATATTTTACTGTTATCAGCAATACAATAAACTTCAGAAAAACCCAGAATCTTCATTATCTCTTTACGACGTTTTGATTCAGACTAATATAAACACGTACTTTCAGTTGAAACAGACATGGTTCATATTACGTGAGTAGACTTTTAAAATTAATTTAGTTGAAATTGTAATAATGAGAAACTTTTTATCTAAAGAAAATCTTGGGCTGGAGTAACCTGCTAAATACATTTATCACTAATGTAATTACAGGTAAATATCTACAAACTAGAGTAAATGAAAAGCCCCCTGAAGAGAATTTATTGTGTAATCTAAGAAAATACTACCTTACAAAGATATCAAACTATTTGTCTTCAGCTTAAAAATGGTTTGATGATGGATATTTGTAGACATTAATTTGATATCTAAGAAAAGTGTTTAAAAATATATATGCTTGATTTTTAAACTTGTTCTGAAACAAAAGAAAAATAAGAAAACCTCATAACAAAGCATTTGAACTATATAGGCATTATAATCAATAACTAAAAATAAATATACATTTTGAAATGTTTATTCAGATTGTTGAATTAGTTAAAGGTAATACCAACACTTTTTAAAGCAAGATGATTTTAATTTTATATTCTTAGAATGGTTTTATTATATTCCTTGTACTTTACAGAGACTTGTGTTCTTTAATCAAGATTTTAATAACATATAATTACATGTTGCTTTAAAAAATTCATTTCCACATTGTTTGTGTTGCTCCTTGCCATGTTGGAAGAATCTAGTAAGGAGCCCAGAAAGACCCTCAGAGGGGGCTGGTACCTGGTGGTGCAACATGGCTCGGTCCCATCCCTGTAAGGTGGGAATTTTGATTTTGCCTCTTCATTCAAAAATCCTCACCATGATGCCATTTTATTTGCTCACACCTTCAGGTACTCTTCCCATGAGCAGAAGGCAGCCCTCAGAGATACCTTCTTCAGGCTAGTGCCAACCTCGATAACCTAGGCTTGCCCCACAAAAATCCTACAAGATCCTTCTGTCTGGCATATTCCATCTTTCTCTTTTCCTTTACTAAGGCTTGATCAGAATGTCAAATTCTGACTCTTTGACTTCCTCATGTCTAGCTCCCTGAAGACTATTTTCCTTCACTTACATTATTTTTAAAAATACGCTATGGAACATTTGCCTCATTTGTAAATTTTCCTTTTAACTACAAAATGAGGCAGCTTGGGACTGTCACGTAGGCACCCCCATCACTTGGCCTAAATCTGGCTGGCTCCACCTTTTTTCAGCAATCCATTTGCTGTTCAACCTTTCTAAACAGACAATTTTGGCCCATTGTGTATCAAAGCTTCTAATTCTATTTCTGAGTGGATTTCAATTACTAGTTTATGGTCAGTGCCTGCTGTATGGTCAGAAGACCGTTGCACAAAAGAGTCCTGAATATGATCAGACTCTGCCATTGGAAATTTCAAGAGATGTACTGTTAAGAAAATACAGGGGACTCTTTTTCCTTTAAAATTTCATGTCTGGAGAGACCAATCACCTCTCAAATGAGCCTCAGGTTTCATAACCTGTTTATCAGATGTTCACTGGTAACTTTCTCCATTTGGACAAAATTGCTGGTACCAAAACCAAGTGAATACATGTGACATCGTATTACTGATAGAAACACTGAAAATAAGCAATATCATGAACACAAAATATTACCATTTTGTGACTTCTAGATTGTGTTAGGAGACAGTTCAGTTCCCCTCTCTGCCATAAGTATCACTGGGAACTTGGGTAGATATTTTAGCCCTCACGTCCTAGTCTCATTCTCTATTAAATAATAGAATGATACTGTCAGCTTTATAGATTACCAGATATGTTTCTATTATTTGCTCTTATTAAACACAAGAGGGTATGTAATCGATAAATTCAAAGGACATTTACATTTCTCAAATAAAACCATTTTAATATATCACTTTGTAAAGGCTTAAGCTTAGTATGCAGTAGTCTTTAACAATGCAATTTCAGAATATATAGTGATGCTTATGTATATTTCATGTTCCTAGATTTGTTCAAAGATAAGAATTCAAAGATAAGAATATGACTACATCCCACAATATAACGCTCAAATTAGTGTTTTAGAGAACTAGAACATGGGGAAAGGGAAGGGAAAATAAGTAGAATGAAGACATCCCATGTATACGACTCTAATAACCTCAGTGAATGTGAACATTATATGCCAAAGCATGAACTAAGATTAATAATATCAACAAGAATGAAAATGGAAAAATGAGAATTAAAGGAAGAGAGAGGGATGAGAGGAGAGAAGGAGATTAAAGAAACAAGTGCATATACCTACTCGCCAAGATCATTATAATCTACTAACAAAACAGGAATAATCATAGATTAACTAAAAGAAGACATAGAAGCAAGATGGTACATTACTAAATTCCTCTCACCCTTCTGGATGAACTGATTTGTGCTTACTTGGAGATATTATCCAATGTGTGATATGAGAATCTTACTGGCATAACCATACAATGAAATAATAAGCTCTCCATCACCGAAAGTATTCAAGCACGAACAGAATAACTACCCAGCAAGGTGATTCATTCCTCACAGGTAGAAGTTTAAGTTTCCATGAAGTTTTTTTTCTGACTTTCAGGATCTGTTTTGAGAAATACCATATTTTGTTAAGATCCATACCTTCCCCCCCCTTTTTAAAATTTCTGAAATCAGAATGCATCACAAAATTGCCAAATAGACATCAAATGAAGGGTTTCTTTATTTTTCCTAAACCTTTGTTACTAAATTAGTATATGTTGAAATTGAGAAAATATAAGTCTCTATGTCATCAAGTTAAATAAAACTAATTCAGCTAGCAGCTGAAGGGAAATAACTAGGACAGGACAGAAATAGAGGATTGGAGTTTTTATTAAAAAATATAGTAATGGCTTATCAAACTCTAAAAAAAATGAGGGTGGGCATGTAAGTTTACATGGATTCTAAAGACAAGTCCACAAGAATTCCTTTTACTTCTTTATACGCATACATTTTTCTTTGCAGATTCAGTTTCTTCACATAAATTTTAACACCATTCACTGTTTATTAAACCCTCAAATCTGTAGGACCTCAAAACTGAACTAGAGTTCCCTAGTTTTGGTAATGGCCATGTTGGGTTGGGTTTATACCTTGATTCCATGGATTACTGGTCCCAGAATAAAAACATAGCATTCAAGAGCCTGCCTTGTCAGGTAGCAGGGACAAATAGTAGGCATTGAGAGCAAGGTGGACAACCTGAGAATTTATTCTGTAGTGATTTCTTAATCAATGAAATTAATGGTGAGTACATCTGAAATAGCACTGCCAAAAGTGGCCATCCCTTCGTTGCTTCCATACCCAGTTTATATGAGTGCTGTGAAATGCTTTTGTGGATGAAATGAAGCCATTGATTTGCTCAAGCTTGAGCTATCCGGGTTTCTTATTATTTCTTGGAGGTGTCAAAAGTGACTTTCTAAGGCGAGCATTTTAGAGAGGCAGCACTGCTTAAATTATGAGGTATCAGAGTTGATAGAAATAATGATAAAGCTTAGTCCTAACCTTTGCAGAGAAATTTTGGCACTTTTTTGAATGGATGGGTATCACAGACTAATTTCTTTTTTCCTCTTCAAAGTGATAATACTCTCCGTCGTTGAACTGATCATCATCCTCTTGCTGATCTTCCTCAGGAAACGAATTCGTTTGGCCATTGCCCTGCTGAAAGAAGGGAGCAAGTAAGGCCCTTAATGTAGGGACTCAGACAGTGTGTATCCATCAGTTCATTCAGCCACCCCACTGCGTAGATGCTGCACCCCATTTTCCCCTTAGGAAGACTTGCTAGAGGAAACTATTTTCCATTCAAGAAGACTTGGTCAAGTTCAGACTCTTCTTTAGTAGAAAGGTCAGCACTACCAAGTCCTTCAATATTTGCAGACCTCAGTTATCATATGGTAAAATTTATCTAGTCTATGTATTAACACTTTTGAACACCAAGTTGTATATATAAAAGTAAACTAAATTCTATATAAAAGTTAGCTATATTATAGGTTCTACTATTTCCAGAGTGGGATGTTTGTTAATATTAATGATTGAACTATTTTATAAAACCTTAAATCATCATGATTCTATAAAGTCAATTATATGCTATTATCATTTCTCTACAAGGGGAAAATTTTCTAATAGCTTAATTTATTCTTAGAGTACCAGGCTATACATTTTGTATATAAAGCTCACAATTCAGGAACACTTAATACCTACAGCCATTTTTAATTTAAAAATCTTATGAACTAAACATCAAGTCTTTCATAAAATTCATGTTGAGAGGCAATAACACCTATAATTCATTTTGAGAGGCAATAACACCTATAGTTTCCAGATTATACCAAAAGGTCACATGAGGTTAGTACCTGTTACTCATTCATGGAAGAAACAAGGAACACATGCCTATAAAGCCAAAACTGTGCTTTCTACTTAGAATGAAGTAAGAACTAAGTTGTCAAGGACCAAGAGCCAAATTACTTTTAATCATCCTTAAGAACTATTTTAACAAAATTGCTCCATTATTATGGTAATAATAGTGCCACCTGAAGCCAGTGGTTTAAATAGTTAACAAGCAGTTTGTTAAACTCTTTCCTTTCCCTACAATAACTGTCACCCTGTCATTATCCACTGAAAACTACCGATTTTCTGGGTTTATTCCTTAAGTAGTATGTTATTGTGCAATTCACTGTAACTTGCTCCTCTTGTCCTGACCCTAAATGTATGTGTGCACATGGATACATGTGTGTGTGTGTGTGTGTGTGTGTGTGTGTGTGTGTGATAAACAACCAATGTGAGAAGCCACTAGTTTGTTCAGGAGAAAGTAAGGGCTGAAAGAAATGGATATAAGAATACAAAATAAACTCAATAATACAGTTAAAGTCAATAAGTGGAAAAATAATGAGACAAAGAAGGCAACAAATGTCGAGGAAATCTAAGACATGTCAGTGCATCTGGGATGATAAGATTTCCATAGTAATTTCCAATAGTTATATCAAATAGTGTCATGTTTAATCCACTGTCATATGCTGAAATAGTCACTTAAAAGAAGTTAGAAACAGAACAACTGAACTGGTGCACATTACAAATCTTAGGAGGAAATAGCCAAGAAATGATGATCTGGGACAAAAAAAGATAAAGAGTTACTTAAAGAGTTGCTATGAGGAGATAGTGGTAAAATGATTATTTCTTATCTGAGAATTAGTGGGTGCAAGTTACAAGGAGGCAGAACAGAAAGACTTTCTAACACTTCGTTAAGAAGATGAGTTAAGCTGTATTGTGTAAAAATAAATTCTCATCCCTCTGTCTGCACCAGTGAACACATTTTGTTTTATTTCAGAGCCATTGGATACATCCCTAGTACCTTAGTTTATCCAGTTTTAACTTTCATTTTGCTCTCCATCTGTTTTTCCTACTGGATTGTGACAGCAGTGTATCCTTTGGGAATTGATCTCTTTGAGCCTTACTTCCACATTACTATTCAGAAACCTGCAGTTGGTGTCTGGTGTCTTCTATCCCTGGGAAGATTGAGAAATATCCAGAAGAAATAACTGAATTTTTCTCCAGGTCATAAAGGGGTTGTAATCTACTGATTTAATTCCTCCCCCTGACCCCCCAGCAAGGGTCATGTGGTAGATTTGCTTTATTTTATGTCCGTATAAGCTAAGAAACCTCTTTAAGGTTTTGACTGTTAGGGGGATTACTCAGTACATCTGGCCAAGGTTATCTTAATCTAGGCCTGATAGAGGGCTGAATCATTAAAATACAGTATTAGAAGATTTATGAGGTTAGTTTCTCCATGGACTTTAGAGTTAGCTGCATTATTGCCTTGTCTATTTTCAAGCTACCAGAAAATTATCCTTAATAGAGTTTATTCAGTTCCTTGGCTACATCAGGAGCACCTGTTTACAAAGTTTCAGCCCCAGAGGGGCCATGTGTACATGAAAATGAAACCTGTGACCCAAGTGTAAGTAAAAGAAACTTTCTTGTTTACTTACTCCTCTTTACTTACTTCAGTGCAGAATTCTACTAGAGTTCATTTGCAACTGTAGGAGTCTTGGTGAGATAGAGCTGCTATTCACTGCTAGGAGGTTAGCTATGTACAGAAGGGGAGGCTTGGTCAGGTGACAGCAGGAGAGCACTGAAATTGGTGGGCAAAGCAGAGAGAAAGCATTGTCTTTTGCTGGGATTTCTTGCCCTATCAGAAGCTGGTATGGTTGATGAAAACACTAATAAATTTGAAATTTTACTGGCTGTTGAGTGATGAGCATATGAGTGAAACTGAGATACTTTCCAGAGTTTATTAAAGAATAATTTAATATGACATGGTAGCAGAGAGAAGAGTAACAGTAAAAGCTAAGGGAGAAGAAAAGTAAACTATGAAAGAGGAAAAGGCAGTGGGCTATTATCTTGGAATGGTGTATGATATTCTCATGTTGATCTTTTCTGACTACAGATTTTTAGTTCAACGGATGTTCCCAAAGCATGCCCTGGGGCTCTCTGTAACTTCGCTTTCTATGGTGGAAAAAGTCTGTACCATCAATACCTAGCTATCTTGCATTTGTACAATCTATTTGTCTTTCTTTGGCTTATAAACTTTGTCCTTGCATTGGGTCAGTGTACCCTTGCTGGTGCCTTTGCTAGTTACTACTGGGCCATGAAAAAACCTGACGACATCCCAGCACTTCCCCTTTTTACTGCATTTGGACAAGCAGTACGGTAAGCTTCATGTTAAACCCTACACCCTTTTCCTCATCTCTGGTTAGTGTGTTACTAAGGATTAATTTGGCTCTGTATCTCCACTGATCGGGTCAAACATCCTAATGTATGAAAATGCTACTGATAAATAAAGGATAAGACAGATGTATATGATTTAAAACCACTTATGGAGACTTTTATACATTTGAATAATATCTTCTAAAGATCCTTTTTACCTGAAAACTGTTCAGCTAGCAACGTATTCATTAATAGCAATAATACTTTAACTTTTGTTCTCATTTTATCTTTGCCTAGATATCACACGGGATCCCTAGCATTTGGATCATTAATTCTTGTGTTAATTCAGATGTTTAAAGTGATCCTAGAATACTTGGACAGACATCTTAAAAGTAAGGCTTCAGAATGTATCTCAGACTTTCTGACTTATGTAAAGAGAATTGACTGGGATGGGGTAGGGGAGAGGTATGACTCTAAGTTGGACTAGGGTAGAAAGGAAGGAAATTGTTAAGTCTGGGATATGTTTTAAAGAGCAATCCAAAAGGACTTGTTGAGTGATTGGATGTCAGGCGGAGGGAGGAGCAATGGTGAAGGAAAAGATAAAATTGGTGTGATCTTATGTATTAAGATATAGAAGCCAGCAGAAACAAATTTCAAAAAGGTGAGGATTTCTGATTTAATGTGTTTCTGTTGAGAAGCACAGTGGAGATGCCCAGTAGGCATCTCCTAGTTGAGAGCTCAGGTCATGTTAGTAAAATACAAATGTGGGTGGCATTGCCTTCTTAATGAAACATGTAGTTTATAAACATGTGAGCTCTGCTTATAATGTGCTTAAAAGATTTCTGGGCATGGTGGTGCATGCCTATAATCCCAGCACTTGGGAAGCTGAGGCAGGAGGATCATTGTGAGTTCAAGACCAGCCTGGGCTACAAAGTTCAAGGCCAGCCTGAACTGCATAGTGAGACCCTGTCTCAAAAAACAAAGCAAAGCAAAACAAAAAGATAGCCAAAACCATCTTGAAAGAAACATCAAACTTGAAAGATCAACACTTGCTGTCTTCCAAATTTCATACAAAGTTACAATAATCAAAACAGTGTGATATTGGCACAGGGCAGACATACAGACCTAGAACAGAAACCCAAAATAAACCCTTACATATAAAACTATTTGATATGAAAAGATCAGTCCTTTTCAGATGGAAAAACTGGACTCTTACACTAAATTAAATTGAAATTAACTCAAAATGAGTCATAGATGGAAAAATAGCAGGTAATACTGTAAAACTCATAAGAAAGCATAGGAAAAATCTTTATGAATTGGATTTGGTATAGATTTCTTGGCTATCACATCAAAAGCATAGGGAATGAAAGGAAAAATAAATTGGACTGGATCAAAATTAAAAACATTTGCACATCGAATCAAAGGAAGAGAAAGAGAAGGAAGAGGAGGCAGAGGAAGGTGAGAGGAGGGGGTGAGGAGGGGAAAAGAAGGAAGAGAGAGGGAGGGAGGGATAATGGGAGAAAATACTTGAAAATACCACAGGATGGATTAACAGAGAACTTCTACAACTCAGCAGCAAAAACACAAAACAACAACAACAACAGCAAAATACAGCAAAGACACAATTCTGCAAAGATAATATACGACATAGAAATGGCCAATAAGGACAGGAAAAGACACTCAGTATCACTAGGCATCTGAGAAATCAAAAGCACTTTTTACTGAGCTACCACTTCACACCCACTAGAGTGACTATAAAAATGACAACAACAAATACAAAAGAATGATTTGTGTTTGTAAGGATACAGCAAAATTCAAACCCTTGTATGTTGTTGAAAATGTAAAATGGTATAGCCTCTGTAGAAAAAGTGTGGTTGTTCCTTAAAAAGTCAAAATTTCCAATCTACCCGGAAACTCCACTTCTAAAGATACACTCAGAAAATTGAAGGCAAGGGAGCAAACAGATATTTGCCCACCAGTATTCACGGCAGCATCATTACCAATAGCCAAGTGATGGAAACAGCTCACGTTTCCATTATAAGTTGAATCGCAAAGCGTGTTACCGACACACAGCGGAATATCAACCTTCAAAAGGAATGAAAGGATGAGCCTTGAAAACATGAAACCCGGTGAGATGAGCAAGTACAAAAGGGCACATTTATACTACTCGCTTGGGAGGTGCCCTGGAAGAGGAAAATTCATACCGACAGAAAGGATAACAGAGGTTGCAAGCGGCCATGGGAGGGCAAGGAATGGTTGTGGAATGCTTACAGAATTTCTGTTTGAGATGATACAAAGTTCTGAAAATGAATAGTGGTGATTGCCGCACAGCACTGCAAATGTACTCGAGGTCACTGAACTGTACACTTAAGAATGCCAGTGTGTATCTAAATATTTGCTTCTTGTAGAGACCCAGAACGTTGTCTCTAAATTCCTCAAATGCTGCCTGGGATGCTGCTTCTGGTGTTTGGAAAAACTGATAAAGTTTTTAAACAAAAATGCCTATATTATGGTAAGTAGATTTTTTTATTTATTAAATTGCTGTTTTCCAAACCGAGCCCCCTGTCTGCATGCTTCGGCTGCAGCAGTTTTATATCCATGCAGTCAAATGTATCGCTGCACTGATACAAGGATTCCTGACCCCAGTGCAGGATTCACAGCTACGCTGTCCTACTTGAAATAGTATCTTAACCATACTTTATTAGTACTCTCAGTAGCTTTTCATGAGGGTAGATATTATTTCCATTGGAAATTAAAAAAGATGCTAGACTGTGAATAGTTTATGTGTTTTTGACAGTTTATTGGGAGGAAAGCTTTTTTGGTCACTGGAAGAAGAAATGGTCTTTCTAACGCTGGGATTTACATAACTGTAAGGGCTGGTCTGATGGTTTGTGTGAATCGTGTGTTGGAATGTGTGGGCATTGATATAATTTATTACTTAGTTCCTATGCAAGTTTGTAGATTTCTACAGAAATATTTTTAAATAGGTGATCCAGAAATAGAATTCTCTTACCATTTAGAAGCTACATATCTTAGTCACTTTCTTCATTGCTGGGACAAAACACACACCCCCTGCAAATTAAAGGAAGAAAGGTTTATTTTGGCTCATCATTTGTAGAGATTTCAGTCCATTTCTAGCTGGCGCCAAGGCAGGGCAGAACGGCAGAGGGGTCTGACAGAGGAGAGAGGAGCTACAGTATGGGGGCCGGGAGGCAGAAAGCTCAAGGGAGGAGCAGGAAGCAGCTAAGCCCTTCAGGGCCATGCTCACCTTCCAACCAGATCCATCTCCTAATAGCAAGTCAGCTCTGAGCCCCAGTAATCCACACACTTTCCCAAAGCCCCAGCTGGGAGTTCATGAGACTCTTGGGAGACATCTAGTTATAAATTATAACCCCAAACCCTTATGACATTTGCTTATTGTCACAGTGACTCGGTGTGGAGACGTGCTTAGAATAGCCATGGTGATTCTAATAGGCATTAATTCACCTCCAGTGAGAGTACAGTGTTGAACCTTTTAATCAGTAAATCAAGTACAGTGAAAGGCATTGGATTGTCTTCAGCGTAAATTTTGAGGTTGACATTATAACATTTAACCCATTAAACAATAGACTGTAGGGGGCTGGGGATTTAGTTCAGTGGCACAGCGCCTGCCTGGCAAGCACAAGATCATGAGTTCAATTCCTGGTACCGGAAAAAAAAAACAAAAAATAACAACAACAACATCAAAACAATAGACTGTAGCCAGAACATTTCAAAGACAAAGCCCTTACCTGAGATTTGAAAATAAGACCAGCTTCTGTTGAAGGCTGCCTAGTCCCCCAGGGCCTGGGGGTGCACAGCGTGGGCAGAGCAGTGTGTCACTAGTGACCCAGAGCTAGAGTTGAGACACACAGTTCCCGGGCCTCCCACAAACCCAAATGGTGGAAAGAGGATGCAGGAGGGATCAGCCGGGATGACAGGAATTATTATTGGTATTGTCCTGTCGTTGGGTTGGATTGTCCTTTGGTTCTGTCATGAAACTGAAATTGAAATAATATCAACCGTCTTCCTTAGATTGCAATATATGGCAAAAACTTCTGCAGGTCAGCCAGAGATGCTTTCAACCTTCTGATGAGAAACATTTTAAAGTAAGTAATCGATAGAAAAGTACAAACTACAATTTGTTGAGCCTCAGCATTCTACCTTTACATGCTGCTATGTGAAGTACTGGTAGCCTTATCACAAATAGTGTCTCTTAAATGGAGAGAGTTAAATCTTCTTTCGCATACCACCTGTTTGTTTTTTCAGATGTGAGAACTCTTTCCATTTTCCGCCTAGGTTTTTATACCCACTGGCATTTATTCCTTTTTATTTTCCCCTCTGCTTAAGAAATGGCCCAGATCATCATCCTGACACTGGCCATTTCTACCTCCCCAAAATGATAAAGATTAATTGGGCAAAATCAGAGTACACACACCCCATCCCTAGGATTCAGGTCTCCATCCCAAAGCAGAGAGGAGGAATCACTGTCACCCAACACACGACAGCCCTACAATGCCATCTTCTGTTTAGTTCCTTAAACATAAGTGGCAACTTCACTCCTGTGTTTCTCTTGCATTTAACAAGCCCTGTGTTCATTTCCTGAATTTAACGATTGCCAAGCGAAATTTCAGCAAAGACACATCAAAATGGACATGTGAGTTATTTAATCCCTTAAATATCAAGTCACAAATGTGTTCTAAACACAGTATTGCACTTTCTTTTTTCAAATGGTCAGAGTTGCAGTTACAGATGAAGTCACACATTTTGTGTTAATCCTGGGGAAAATCCTAATTTCTGCACTTATAGGTAAGTAATTATCACAATAAATAATGAAAAGTTGAAAAGACTCTTGGAAAAAACTGTTTTTCTATGCAAAGCTGTATACCTTTGCCAGGGCATAATACGTACTCATACATGTTCTGCTTTTTCAATGTAGGTATCCTGGCCTTCTTACTTTTTACAGAAAAAATGCCAATGGTTTTGGGAGGACCAACATCTCTAAATTACTACTGGGTACCTTTGCTGGTAAGAAGTGGCGTCTGTCGTGTTCAGTTGGGGCTGCTATAACAGAAGTACCACAGACTAAGAGGCTTAAACAACAGGAATTTGGGGGCTGGGGATTTAGCTCAGCGGCACAGCGCCTGCCTGGCAAGCGCAAGGTCGTAAGTTTGATTCCTGATACCGGAAAAAAAAAAAAAAAAAAAAAAAAGCAAAAAAAAAACAACGGGAATTTATTTCTGACTGCTCTGATGGCTGGGAAGTCCCAGATCAAGGCTCTGTCTCATTCAGTTGACGGCCTTCTTCCCAGCGTTCAGAGGGACAGAGAGACCACGCCTTTCGCGTCTTCTCTTACAAGGGTACTGATCCTTTCATAAGGATATCGCCTTCTTGACCGAAAACCTCTCACAGGACTTACCTTCAAATTCCATCACATTGGGAGTTAGGGCTTCAGTGTAAAATTCGGTGGGTTTTTTCGGGGGGCGTGTCACAATTCAGTCCACAGCAGATGAGTACTATTGATTCTGATGGATCAGAGATGTAAGTGTTTTAATAATAAGAAAAGTAGTAATGACAGCTGATAGTACGGGTCCTACTGTGTGCTGACCCCCATCCTGCCCTTCAGATTGGGTTCCTTGGAAAAAACTACCTACCGAGGTAGAGGATTGCATGCAAAAGTTTTATCAGGAGTTCTGTCCTGAGATGCATCTGTAAGGAAGAGGGGCGGGCAGGCCAGGGCAGCAGTGGAGGCTGGGCGGTGCTGACTCGCGGCTGAGGCCATAGATGTAATTCCAGGAAGTTTGGGAAAAGAGCCCGGGCCTTTACAAACCACAACAGACAGCTGGTAGCCACAGCTGACCTTAAGCAGCGTGTGACCTTGGGTGAGGCAGTTCCCTGCAGGGAGGGCAATTGCTTGTCCTGGAAGCAGCTGAGTCAGCAGCGGCCTGCATTCACCCAATGGGATGGGCGGAGCAGCTGGAAGAGACCTGGGTGAGAACTGCTGTATCTATTACAGTGTATGAACTCCTTACTCCGTAGGATATAAATGCTGTCAGTCACATGCTCCTCATCCCTGCTGCCCACTTCATAAAGGAGGGACAGAGAGGTTACGGAACTTGCTGAGGGCTCAAGCTGTGATTCAAATCCAGGCAGTGTGTGGTCAGAACCCCTTACGCTTCCCTCCCTGGGTATACAGGATCCTAAAGCTGGGCTATTTTGGTTGGCCTTTGGGGAAAGCAGTAGCACGGACAGGTAATCTAGTACCTTTCCTTTAAATCTCAGGACAAAGCTCGCAAAATTGCGTGGCCTGTACATCGAAGCCTTTTCCAACACAGAGTTTGGCTTTCATTTGTAGCTGCTTTATTGTTCTGTGAAACAGAGCCAATGACCTGTTGGTCTCTTCTTTGCCCATTTACAGACTGTCATTTTGGGATCTTACCTAGTTGCCCATGGCTGCTTTAGTGTCTATGCAACATGCGTTGAAACAATTTTCCTCTGCTTCTGTAAGTACTCCATGGGCGGGGTCCCCTTGGTAGGTAGCTGGAGAGGAGAAGGTAAAGGCGGATGCCCTTAGCTGGCTTGTGGATTCGCTTACCTGTCTACAACTGCAAAGCAGTATTTATTTGGAAGGAGACATTGCTGTGTCGGTGCTTTTAAAGCCATAGCTGCTGAGAACTAAGCCAGAGGCAGAGAGACAAATATTGTATCATCTCACTTAAATGTGAAATCGAAACCTTCAAACTCAGAAACAAGGAGGATGGTGACCAGGAATCCAGGGCTGAGGAAGATGGTGAGAAGCTGGCCAAAGGGTAGGAACTCACACGTACAAGATGGACACACTCTGGAAGGCTGATGTACAGCATGGTGACCATAGTTACTAATACTCTACCATATACTTGAAATTCGTCATTGAGATCTGAAATATTATACACACACACACACAGACACACACACACAGACACACACACACAGACACACAAATGTCTTTGTGAGATAATAAATATGTTAACTAGCTTGTTAGTGGTAATAATTCCATAATATCCCTATATATCAAAGCGTTGCATAACTTTAATATATACAATTTTTTTGTCAGTTATACCTCAATAAAGCTGGATGGAAATTATACTTTAGGAAAGCTGTGAGCAAAATACAAAATCACACTCATACGCACACTTAAATAATTAACAACCGAGACTGCAGAGTTTGCAAAGCACAGGAGGGTCAGCCCCTGACAGGAGCTCAGGCTGCATGGCTTGGTGCTAGCGAGATGCCACTTTGTCCTTTCTGAATGCTGTCAAATCCCTCGTAGTGACGGGCTTCTGCTGTGGTTTGTGAACAGAATCGAGGTTGCAACTGGACTTTGGGAAGTGGGTTTGGGGAATTCCTTGAGGACCTCTATTCCCATAAAGCCAAGATGGCAACAATTTCAAAGCCACCCGGGACAAATTCACACGATGTAACATGGTGACAAACTGACAGGGTTCAGGGAAGAGTGCGCCTAGGAAGTGGCGTGATCCATGCAGAGGCTTGGAGTTAATGTGCATCCTGAGAGCTTCCATCACTGACTTATATACTGTGACCTATGCAGCAGGTGTGACTCACACACACAGGATGAGTATTTTTATTTTAGTGCCTCTTCTAAAACAACCTGGAGAACCTAATGCTATTAGGACTTTGATCTGGCCCTCACTTTTGGTGAATTTCTTGGGCAAATCTAGAGAAGATGGGATTAGCAGGTAAGAGCAGAATCTAGCCAGGTGTGGTTGGTGCATACCTGTAATCCCAGCATTCTGGGAGGCTGAAGCGGGAGGACTGCAAGTTTGAGCCCAGTTGGGCAACTTGGTGAATTAAGAAGACCCTCCCTCAAAACAGAACATAACAAATTTTTTTTAAAAGGGCTGTGGATGTAACTCAGTGCAAAAGCCCTTAGTTCAATCTCAGTCACACATCAAAATTAGCAAAAATAACAGAACCTGTTAGCCATACTGTCACACATCCTGAGTAATTATTTCTCTAGCACAATTGCTGGAGGACAAGCAGGAAAAACTCTCTTGCAGTACATCGCTGAGTACAGAGCCAAGAGTTTAGTTTTTAGAGCAAACTACAGCACCACCTTCACAGTGGGATTAGACGTAGAGATCATTACAGGAGTAAAGAAATAGCCCCTCCCAAAGTAAGACCCACCCTTTACGTAGTTCCTAACACATAGCAGAAACAGAACTCTGGACTGTGCAGAGGTTTCTTCTCTCATCTCAGATGCTCATCACAAGAGCAATATTTGGAGATCCCTCTCTGACCTTCCTCTCTTATAGCTGAAAATATTTCTCAAAATTTATTGCAGGAAATGTGTAGCACCTACTAGTTTCCAGTCTGTGCAAGCTTGGGCTAATTTTGTTAATTGTAAAGATGGCAGCTGATGTAAATTTGAACAATAAGAAATTTCCCACCCATATTTGTTAATAAATTTCCAACTTCTTGAAAGTGAGATATACTATCAGTTTTATTCTGTATGTTGTATGTTGACATGAATAGCTTCCCTTCAAAGGTTCCTGTCTTTGATAATAAAGGACAAGGGAAGCCATATGGTATTTTTCCTCCTTCCCCAGCTGTTAGGATGGGTAACATCATCCTTTGGAAAACATTCTTCTTAAAGATACCCCAAGGCAAACTCTGATTGTGTAGAACTATACTTTTATTTTTTCTGTATCTTTTTATACCTATTATCCTGGTTGCCAGAAAACTTGTGCTTTTCTTTTTTTAATGCCAACCATTTGTAAACACTTTATTTATAGAAGCATGACATCTTTTAACATCACAAGGCACTGAGAATCCTGCTGGAAAGAATAATAGTTGTAGATGATTATTAATGTGATCCAGACCAGGCTTCCTTCCAGTACCTCCAGGACAGTAATGATATAGGCATATGCTATGTGATCTTGTACAGAAATAAGATTAAGGATAAAAAGAAGAACAAAAATGTCCAGTGTCTATCAAGTTCCTTAGCTTTTCATTTTGTGAGGAGGGTTACATGCATATGTGAGGTCTTATTTAAAAACCTACTAAACCAATAATCCCACCATTCCCAAAAGAATATAGATACTGTCTGCAGTGAAATATATGCATTTGCAGTAAAGCGAATCCCATGCAGACATCTCCTTGATTTTCAGCATGACTCTGCTGCCTTCCCCAGCCACCCAGCAGGTAGATCAGTAACAGCCTATCAATTTCCCTATTATCTTAAGCAATCAAGACAAGAAGGTGTATTTACAGGCTACGAGTCAGGAAACACTCGTGTTAGCTTTCGAATACAATCTGAGGCAGACCGCAAAGATTTACAGCGAGGCACTTCATAGTTAAGTAGGATGAGAACTGGATTAGACGCCAAGAGACTGGGTTTTCTTCCCTTCCTCACTGCCTCAGAATCCTCAACTTCAGCGGAGTCCTTTACATCCCTGGTTCAGCTGATTCATCTATAGTACACGTGTGTAAACTACTATTAGACGTGACTTGAAGCTCTCAAATGCAACTGTTCCTCTTAACACACTTTGTATTTATCTTTGAGCCCAAAGAGGTGGCGATTTATACAGTTCTGAAAAGAGTGGTCGCAGGACTTAAGGAGAAAATTTTGAAGAACATGGAAAGCTTTGTTAACTTAAACCATCAAAATAAACCTCTTGGGGAGCAGAAATGAGCAGGGGAAAGGGTCAGCGCTTTACAGCAGAGCTTGGGGCTTTTTGTCTGGTCCAGCATCAGCAATTTAACTGCGCTAATTTGTCTTCTACTTTTTTTTTTCTAGCTTGTTTTCTGTTTTACTTTCTAACACTGATATCTCTGATTTCTTCCCTTGTTCAACTACTCTCCAACTTATAAAAATGCACATAATTGTTCTGCTGCTGCTTGCTGCCTTTGCCCTGCTTTGGCTGCCGCAAATACAGGTGAAGATCTGGAAAGGAATGATGGATCTGCAGAAAGGCCCTACTTCATAACCCTTAGCCTGCACGAGATTCTGGTCAAGAAGCAACCAGTCCCCCAGAAGCAGAAAGAGTAGCAAAGCTCCAAACAGTGCCCTCTGCTTTGAAGTTGACACTTTGTGAATTAGGTCAACTGTCATTTGAAAATGTTGCTTTGGAGTAATGGGAAATTTCGGAGCTACTTCTAAAAAAAGCTGGTACTTAGTACCATAGAGTGGTCAGGCATTTGATGGCGGTGGCCTCTATGAAGTGGGACACTTTATGTATGACGGTCCCCGTGGAAGAGTCAAATGTTCATGTCAAACATTTTTAAAAACTGATAGCTGAAAGTGTTTTAATAACTTTTGTAACTCAGCGTGTTGTTTCTACAGCAGCACTTTGATAGCCTTTCTTTTTATAAGTGTAAATTTGTAAAGGATATCCAGGCAATTTTTGAAAGCACTATAAATGTATATTCAACTAGCCATAAAAATATTGATTTATAGTTAACCAGCATAAGGTACTACATTTGTAAATATGGTGCTATTGTTATATTTCTACTGTTCAAGCTGGTGGGCAGCTCTAAACTGTGATTAAATGTGTATTAATGGTTCCTTATGATGTATATTTTAGTAAGTGAGTGAAGTCCATAACAAACGGCTAGATATTAATGTCAGACAGGTTCTACTGAGAACAGTCCTGGGCAGGAGTTCCTGTGGGACCTTCGCAGTTCATTGTCTTTTAGTGAATTTATATTTGTAATGAAGCTGAATTTGAGTCCCAGAATGTTGTTCCAATAATATGAGCTTCTGGCCACCATAAAAATATCCTGAACAAAAAAAAAAAATTCTACATAACTCATACTACTGGTCTCTAACACAGATTTCCCATTTCTACCATATAGAAGAGTTTGTTTCAAAGGGGTGATTTTTTTCTTTTCATGAGCATACCTGTATTTCTAGATGAAAGAGATGTGTGGCCTTTATATACAAAAGGTCTAATTTTAGCTCACCTTTCAGTGAGGAAAGAGAAAAGATAAGTGAGACATTTTAGATTTTGCGCTAAGGGAATATATGATTGCCTCCATTAGACGCCTCATCGGGTACCTTTACAAGGGACATACTTGAATCTCCCTCTCAAGGGCTTAGGAGGAATATTATCGCTATACTCCATGCGGCTGGCCAGAGCAAGCAGCCGGCCTCTGGCAAGACAAACCTAATTCTTGCATGGCCAGGCAAAGCATGAATCAGACACTCATACACCTCGTCTATTCATCCCATGTGCAAAGGTATAGAATGTGTCTGACAGTGTAAAAATAAACCCCCAAAGGAGCATTGAATCAATTGGCATCTTTCTGGCTTTTCCACTAATCTTGTATTTAACAGCAAGGGATATGTTGATCTAGCACGCTGATCAGATTATGATGTGCATATCCAACAAGACAATCAGAAATGTATGCTTGTGCTACAAGTTAATACAAATACTACTTTCTTTAATTATCCTGCAGTGTAGGAACTTAAACTTAGATAGATTTCATGGCAGCTTAATAACAAGAAGCCAATAAATAGGGAAAGATTTTAAAATATTGGTCCTTAAAATGATCACCAATTGTTTTTGACTCACTTTCTTAAGATTATCGGAGCAAGAGTGTCCCTTGGCTTCAGCTCTTCCTCATTCTCATGAGCCTTGAAGGACAAGCCAAGGAAGAGCGCTCACTTTTCTTTCTAGACGTTTTTCTTATTACTTTCTTACTCAGTAATACAAGGGCCAGAACAAAAATCTAGTGGAATAGTGACTTCTACCAGTGAACTTGTTATACGTGCAGATGCCTGCACCCACTGTGTTTGTAGACGGGCATTGTATAAAACATCACAAAGCTCTCCAGGTGATTCTGACACACAGAAAAGTTGGAAAAATCACTTGAATAGCATACAAATTAGCATGTGAGCAACTAGTCGCTTGTTTAACTGTTTCATGGGCCTAGTCCCAGCTAGAAAAATACTGTCTGTTATTTCTTTGTGTCATTTAAATAAGTAGATTAACAGTGAGCAGTGTTTTGAGAAGAAATTTAGAAGCCATTTTCTTACAAAGCAAGTAAATTGATATTTGTGGGAAAAAAAAAAACAGCAATAGTTCTCAACACTTGCAGTTGAAAGATTTGAAATACTGTATGTTAACATTTTACAAATGATGTTTTCCAAGGCCATGCCACCAAAGCTGTTGGTGACAAAACAAAAGCAATTTTGAATAAGTACGGTAGTTGAGAAAGTACATCAAGAAAAAAAGAAGGTAAATACAAATTATTTCCTCAACCATGCACCTTAACGGCATGCAATATTGGCAGAACCTGACCTGGGACACTGAATGAGATCATATCTTATTGACAAGACAAGAAGGGCTGATTGTTTTTTCATACCTATGTTTACAATAGCACTGACGCCAAACCGTGCTGTTTTTAAAATGCGGTATCTCGAATTGCTGTAAGGCGAGCGGGCAGCAGATGGCGCTGTTACTTCTCGTACGGTTTTGCTTTGTTAGTTATTGTGTGCCGTTCTTCCCCCTAGTGGAAGATTTAGAAAGAAACGAAGGTTCCGCTGCAAGACCCTTTTTCGTGAGCCCGTCTCTGATGAAGATTTTGGTGGAGCAAGATTCGTAAACTAAGGACCGGTAGAAGAGCAAATGTCATCTCACAGCGGTGTGTTACCTTTTCCTCCTCTGCTGTCTGAGCAGCACTTGTTTCATAAGCGCTCGGTGTGTAGGGACACTGTACTCACGACCTTGTTCGCTTGCGTTTGCATGTTTTATACCAAAGCTTACACTGTACAATGTGAAGCCATGGAAAGTTGCAATGAAATTGTTAATAACATGAAACATTTTTATACAAAGATCTTTCGTTTTGTAATTCATTTTTAAATAGAGTGGCTTGGATGTTTTGAAAATAATACCGAGTATGTTCATATTCTTTTAAATATTAAATTGAAAAAGGATCTGTTCCTTAAATTGATAGCTCCTAATATATTTTTAAGATGATAGCTAAATGACTTCTTCTGCAGGGAGAATTGGTAAACAAAGTAAACGTTTTTAAAGCTTTCCCCGCTCTTGTTTGACAGTAAACCAGTGATAGGACCACCTCACTCCAGTCTTTGCTACATGTAGAGTGTTTCCTGTTAGACAGATTCTCAACCATCCAGCCTTTACTACTTCGTCCTCTGACAAAGTGCCTTACTGGCTGTTTAACATGACCCAGCGCTTGTGGGCAAGTTTACAAACATTAAGAAAAATGAGAACCTGCAGTGTTTAGTGATTAAGACAAGTCTTGCATTTGTCTTCCTCTTGCTCACTGATGGGAAACCACTGGTCATTTCACCATGTTTGATATTCTCAGCATCAGAGAGTACATTATGGGGCATAAAAAAATGTCCCTCTGCCTAGCGCACATTCAGAAATGTGTGCTACATACAAGGAACACAAAAACTTGAAAGAAAGGACACTTGGGTTTTTTTGTTTTGCTTTTATTAAAAGAAATTTTGAAATGTAGTCTTTTCTATAGTCAATCTTTTAAAAATACAGTAGGTATATAACTGCATCTTTCTGTGTTTTACGCATACTAGAAAAAGAAACTTCTAGGAATTACAAAGGGAAACTTTAGCCCTGAAAGGGTGCTCGCAGATGTTATGTACTGAATAGCTCCATTCTATATGACTGTTTTCATCAGAGGCTGTTCTATATATGTCTCGCATTTTCTAACTTTTGATACAAAACAGCTTGTTTATAACATGTTGATTTTTTACTGCACAGTATAAACAAGAACACTTTCTCATTCAGTTTTAAATAATTTTACTGGTACTGCTAACTTTAAAGAAAATGAATTCAGTGTGTTCCTTTGTGATACAGAGTCCACGAAAGCATTCATCCTAAGGATATGTCAACCATAATGATAGTTGCTGAAAGATTTGCGAATCAATCAACATTAAGTAACATCAGTATATCTATCATCACATTTGTTTAAATGTGACTTTAGGTACTCTTAGGCCAAAAATAAACTCATGAGGGCAGGACAGTGTGAGCTCTATAATCGGTGTGCTTCTGCTGTGCAGAAATATTAGGAACATATTGTCTAAATACCTTTGATAACTAAGATGTTTCATACTTAATGAAATTTGTTGTTCATTGTTTTAGATATATTTGCTTTTTTTTCTTCTAATAAAGCTTTAGATAAGAAATGACTGTCTGTCTTTTTATTTCTTTACACTAAAAAAAGAGGGCAAACTTTTGTTTTTAAAACTCACCATGATTTGGTAGTATCTTTGCCATACTAAATATCTAGGGTGTCTTTCAATGTTTTGTTTCAACATGTAGATTTATTTATAATTTTTCTCTATGTATTACTAAACTGAAACTGAAAATTTATACAAATAAATAACTAAAGCTAAGTGAGCAAAGACTAAATTTTTTAAAACCAAACAATGGCCTTAATTAGTTCATAGGTTTTTGTTTTAATTCACCAAAGCTCACTCATTTGGTTTGGCAACATTCAGAAGAATAAAGTATCATTTAAAAACAACAGTGAATTTACAGAACCTAAAGAAATCAACATTCATTAACAGTAGTTTCTTAAAATAAGATTAAAGGTACCCCTAACTAGTCTAAAGATAAACAGTATCTGTTTAAGGTTGAATTGTACATTAAATCTTCAAAATAAATCTCCTTTAAAATTTAAGGCATCTCTTTCAAAAATAAAACAATATTCTTGCCCTTTCAATTGTTCTTTTAATGTTACAAATCTCATAAGATGTTTGCTATTAAAGGCAATGAGTTTTTTCTTATTTGAAATAAAAATAAAAGTTGGTTTCCAGAAGAAAATCAAATTCTGCTTTAGATCTTAATAGCTCCCATTTTTAAATGATAAAGCAATTATATTGTCAATAAATTATATGAAATTGGGGTATTTATTTTTCTATATGCCTAAAAAGCTTAAAAAAAGTTTGTGCATCCACATAGTAGTGAAGTTGCATGATGAAAGTTTCTATAGGATCGTCAGAGATATTGTATTATTAAACCTGATACTGGAAAGTGGGCTGTAAGCAATAATTCCTTATTTTTCTTTTAGTATCTAGCTGACCAGCACTCATTCCAATGTATGTTCTTTCACTTTTACAAGTGGTGGCTCAGGAAATTGCTCCTAAACTCTAACCAGGCATAGTAATTATCTCCAGTATTATCTGGTTCTGGATTGGGGAATATGCTTTATAAATCAGCCTTTCTTGGCACAAGACCTGGGGACAAAATTAAACTAAAATCATTATTGCAGACCATGGTGTATGAAATGATATCTTAACGTTTTTCTCATTTTCTTGCAAATAATAGTCTTAGATATCTGCACATTATTCTGTTTTGAAAATATACCTATAGGATTACAAGGACAAAATTCAATATACTGTGTCATTAATGAAAAATATCAATGTAGCAGATGCATGCTCCATTGAAATCAACAGCTTTCTGTCCTACAATCTAACTCTCATTATCTAGGTCTAGTGAAGGAAATTCTGGACTGAATTACTTCTTCAAAGTTATTTTCCATGTTCCATGATTTCAGTGTTGGGGTTAAGTAGATATTGAAGACTTTTCTCTCAGAGTCTCGTTACTTCTGGTCTTTGGTGCATCTATCATCTGCAAGAAATCAAAGCCAAGCCCACAAAATCATATGTGAATTCTTTCATTGATGAGTATTGAGTACCTTCTTATCCAAAGCTTGGGCGTCAGACTGATATCATGATCACAGTCTTGCTGAACTGAAGTGTTGCCTGCCCTCTTTACAACTTCCCAACTGCTTGCAATGAAAAGTCGTCAAAGCAGCACGGAATCTGGCACTCTCTTCTGTCATAGTTTGTGTGCTGGGTTGGATAATGGAGACTGTTAAAGGAGACATTTAAAAGCAGTCAGTTAGATTTTATTATTTGAAGCCACTAGCTTTTTTCTTTAAATTTAACTCTTTGGCTTTTCCCCTGGTGCATGGACTGGATGAAATGGAGTAATTTAAGCAAGTGGGAAAATTAGGAATGCAGATAAAATGTCCGTCTACTACTGGTTCAAAAACATGGTACATTTTTCCTTTCTGGAGCTTTACTGTTACGGAGCTCAGGGTGTGAACGGGGTAGGAAAAGCTTATCAAATGGGACAACGTTTGCATTCTACACAGACGCTGATATGAAACCTGGACCTGATTCATTGCTAGAATAACCTTGGAATCTCCACATTCTTCTACTGCAATAAATGTTCCCTGCTGCAGAAGAATCTGCAGAGAAAAGATGTCAAGAAAAGCTTTAGTGCCCAAGAAGAAACAGGAAATCCTAAGGATATATAAAAAGTTTCTAGTGGGATTCAAAGAGGGCAGTGTCACAGGAAATGAAGAGCATTCTCGATGTAATTCATGAATCTATTGAAAGAGAAACAGTAAATTAGAAGCCAGTCATCAAACAAGCAAAGATATTTTTCATCTTCTGGTAAACAGCAGGAAATGGACTGTTTTATAATAAAACTAATCACACAAATGTATTTAGCCCAAACAAACAATGATGTCCCAACATGACTTATGATTAAGAAATTCTACAAACATCTGCCTCCTCCGTGCAGAGCTCTGACATGTTAGCCAAAGCTTTGCTTTTGTGATGCTTGGGTGTATTCTTTGCCTCTGCACATGAGGATGGATTCTCTTCCACACTTTCTCACTTCCTTCATTCCAGTTTGGGGTCTTCCTGGATCTCATCTTTCCTTGCCTAAGGAAACTAATCACAAGTTTTTAGAAGGAAATGGAGGTAAGAGAGGAAAAGCAAGAGTGAAAATGAAGTCTGACCAGCAGCTTGGTTTGTGTTACAGAGTGGCATGTCCTCTCTGGAAACGCAAATGGTGGAGCTCAGATACCACACAGTGGCTGTTGGCAGGAGCTTTAGAGGCAGACCGCGAGAGTTCATTTGCAATGTCACCCTGCACCTGAGACCATGGCCTGCTGCCTAATTACTCCGAGGCTTTCTTAGCTGAACCTTAAAGCTTAGCTCCTCCTCCCAGTGATGTGGGAACAATGGCATGAGAGCCACGTGAATGACACCCGCACCTGCGGGCCTGCTTCCTAGACACTGTCCATGTCTCACAGCTGGTATTGGTGATAGTCTCTTGACTGAGGACGCTTTACTGGCCCCCTTCCTATCCCAGTGGGTAGCTAACTAGGGCCTCCCTGAGGAACTAGAAAAACGCTTCACAGTATCCATAGCTTTCTCCTCCCATTACTCCTATGGCCAGGCCAGAGTAAAAAGTATGCTGGTGACTCATCTTCCATCTCCTCAGCTTCATTCCAAATCTCACAAGACTTATACAGCTTGAATTCTTGGGTCTCTAAGGACACATTCTTTTTGAGTAACCCACAGGAATTTTACTGAGATTCCAGCTTTGCTGACGTACTGTTACCTTTCTTTTTTAATTTTAAATTCTGGCATTCAGTCAGTATTCAGTATTATGAAGCTAAAGAGTTGGATGGCATTTCTACAGATTCTTGACCT